TGTGTCTGTAGGCGTCGGCCATAACCAGACTTTCATTCGCGTACAACAAGTTGTTGAAGCAGTACATAAAGATCTTACGAATGGATCCTGTGGGCCTTAAAATGGCGGGTGTGCTTGTGAACAGAGAAACCGTTATTGCGGTAAGCAAAAACTCAGTAATCAACGAAGCGCTTTTTGTCTGTCGGAGTTTTTATTGTTTTTTAATTTGTAAATTTATTTCAGGCGGTTGAAGCAACCACTGGATACGTTCTGCTTTTTTCGGAAATAGCGGACGATGAAAGGCCACCCAAATCAAACAACTCTAGTGCGCAAAACAACATTTCGCTTTGTTTGTGTAACAGCACGTTGTAGTGCATGTAGTCCGTTTCGATGAAAGATGCACACTGAATATAAATGGCGTTCGCGCTCTGCGCAAATAAAAAAATAAATGTTAAAGTGGCATTTGCATGCAGGCGACAAATTTCTTCATGCCTTGCCTTTTAGCATTTCTTGTTTTGTTTGAATGTCAGCAAAACAGACTCTGGTTGTCATTAGTTTCCAGGATGCTTTTACAGATAGGATGAACCTTTACTAATATTCTTCTCTGGTATAACTATGTTTTGCTAGGTGCATCAGGAGAAGTGAGATGTATTGATTTGAATAAAATTAAGAAAATAGACAACTGGCAAAACGGGGACAGAATCGTTTATATCAACTGACAAGTGAAGTGAGCTCATATTACTGTATATACAAAGTATGTTAACGTTGTTGAACAACTAAAGAAACCCGTTTCGCGGCAGAATAGTATTTGCAATTGTATTATAAAATTCCAGCAAAGAACCAGTTTGGCTGCCAGTGTATTCATTAGTAGTGGGCTCATTTTCTTTCCAGCCTTCCACGACATAGGGTCCATTCCATGCCTTCCCTTGCGAAAGAAATGCTGCAGTTCAAGCTGATAATTCTGAATGAAACGCGATGCAGGCATGCACTCTGTGAAAATTAATGGTTTTCATAGGCAATGGTTTTTCGGTCTTTGCATAAACAGCATAGTGGTTGTTTTTACTTACCCGAACAGTAATGTTAATGCTCAACTTACGCGCGCGTTCTTCCGACTTGCTTTCATGCCGTATTCGTACCAGGTTTTGACAGTCTAATCTCTAAAGTACGCAGACGTGTCAGGACATGCATTTTAAAATTTAGAACGACTGCCTAAAAAGTAGTAAAAATGCATATCTGTTCGGCAGCCCATTCAGCGGAGATTACGATAGAAATTACGAGACAGCCACAATATAATGGAAATGCGAGTAATCCGGCGATTTGCTTCCGAGTTGAGCTGTTGACCAACTTGACCTAAGTCCAGCGTTTGGGGTGCACATACACCAGCAAATCAAAAACGCGCTTATCAACGAAACAACGGGCCAGCCAATAACCGCATTAGTGATGTCAAACAATTTCGCTATTTTACGCTCACTCCTTTCCATTTGTATGATTGGGTTGCCCGCATGAATTTTACTCTTGACATGTTGCCGCAGTTGTTGGGCGAAAAGATTGACAGTATAACCAAATCCGAACAGGACGAGCGATAAAGCCGAGTGACGATCTGGACTAATACATCTACGAGTAATATGCTCCCTAAAGCGATTGTGGTTTGACATAATTGCTGCTGATGTACCGTCGCGTTAAAAAAAAAGCAAAATTAAGTGGCATTCAAATTTCCTCGGCTCAACTACAATAATTTAATAAGCGTAACGAAGACATGTGCCAGAAACGAGATAACCACATTAATGGCAACCCAACCCTTTGTCAACTGCACTTCGAAATGCCGACCTTTATCCAGTGAAATAACGAGTTGTTTCATGTAAACCGATGCACTGATAAATTGTCGGCTATTCAGGGCAATGACGCCACACAGAACAACGAAATAGTTGCATTGAGCTGCGTTTCGGTATTGATGAATAAACACAAGAAACCACTAAGGCATGGGATGAAGTCATTGTCCGGCGTTGCGGATGGTTGCAAGTTCACTCCATCCCAGCACCGTGGCGGGCGTTTGAAGGACAACGACCAGAAACCAGCAGATAAATTGGAAAACACGTTGACGTACACGATTTAGCTTTTTACAGATGGCCATTACTCGTAGTGGGCCCAATACCGACCATAAGCCCAACAGACAATAATAGCAAGTTTCAATTGCGACTAACGTAATGTTGCAATAATTCTCCGTCACACGATTTTTAATGTAAATATGTATGCACAAAAGTACGCAGTCAAGGACTGGCTGTTGCTGGATATCGAAATTGGGAAACATCTGGTTTCACTGTACTTCCAGAAAACGTTTCCGATGAAGTAATTTTTTATGGAAGGGTGCGCTGGCTATTATTGCAGTTGTGTAAGTCGTTCAGGGTCATTCAAAGCACTGCATCATGTATGTCGTAACCTTTGCGGCTCGTGTACGTGGCTACGTGCCGACTGCTGAAAGAGAACCTACTTTTAATATGCAGCAGGTTTTAAACTAAGCATACATTTATGCCCAAATACCAATGCGCTACTGTATTTCCATAGTGAGGTGTACATGTGAGCCGGACATCGCGCGGTTTAAGAGGTGCAACTGCGTTGTAACTACTTCGGTATTTCTCATATTCCGGTCACTTTGAGTGAATGGTTTTATATTCCGGTCACCGGTCACTGGTACGACCGCACATGTTTCGCACTACATGAATATAGCTGCTGATCGCACAATCGCACAATAAAATGCGCGTGTTTACAGTGGGCTCGTGATAACTTGTTCATGTATACAAGTACCTCAACATTCTTCTTGTTACCCGCTGTAGATGCGTAGCCTGTGTTGTCCGCTTGTATGTAGGTTCTGCCAGTTGACGGAATGACATGATCTGTCACCTGTCAATTTGTCAGAATTCAGTACAAACAGTAGTATAATTAATGCATATACACGAGTAGACACTGGGCAAACTCGGAAACAAGAATCGCCAGCTAACAGTTGAAATGAGACTACGTGATAAACATACTTACGTGTATGATTGTATCAGTTGTATGGTAATATCCTTTCGTCAATACTCTGACAATGAGTGCAGTGGTGGCTACGTTACAAAATAAAATGTTACGTGTAGACTTCTGAAAACCTTCTTGTCTTTCCCACCCCTATAAGCAATGGAAGCGCTTATCTCTCGAATGTGGACAGTTTGGATGATTATTTTGCAAATGTTCGGATACTTGATGTGTCCTGTTTGCAGTCATCATGCAGTAAAGCGTCGGCTTTTTCAAATTTTCACTGTAATTTTTGACATTTTTCAAATTATGGCATTGAGTTATTGTTGCTACAATGAATTAGCCCAATCAGTACACCTATTTAGATCTTTTTCCGCCTTGACTTTGTACATCATCACTTGGTTAACGGACCTTGCAGCCGCAAGTTATTATTTTATAACAATGTTTCGATCATGCGAGATTCTTGTGAAATGGATCAGGAGCGCAGCTGCGGAAGCCGACAAGTTACTAACGAAGCGAGCCAAGCTGACAGTCTGCATCTTCGTAGAAACACACCTCTTCATGGTCAGCTGCCTTTTAGCACATAAAATCATAAATACCGACATTGCTAGCTTCTCTACGTCATCGATAAACGACGACTATGCGCTTGTAAAAGATCTGTTTTCAATGACGTCATACAGAAAGTTTTATGTGTTATATAGCGTCATATACCGGATCGTAGCCTTTAGTAAGTTGATACTGCGCGGCTTCATAGTATCATGCGCCATGCTTATGGGAAAACAGTTTCAAATTCTCAATGAACAGCTTGAAGCAGAAAGTTCCATGTCGGTATCGGCATTTATTCAGAAACATCGCCAGCTTTCTGACAGCACCAAGCTATTTGATTCTGCAATGTCCGGAGTTAACTGTCTGCTCTACGTCCAGCATTTGACTAACATCACTTATGGGACATTTATGATGGCCCAAAAATATAGGACAACTCAAAGCCTTGACATCTATCATTTTGTCGTAATAATGGAAAACCTGTGTTTTCTTGTAATAGTCGCGCTGGCCTTCGTATTTCTCACCAAAGAGGCAAGTAACAACTCTAAGAGAAGAGTTTGAAACGAAACGAATGTTGTATTAAAAAAAGCGACAGTTACAGTTCATGAGAAACTTAAATTTTATGCCTTTATGTCATAGGCGCGTCATATTGGCAAAGTTGACCACAAAGATCGTCCAGACCTGAAACAATATATAAAGCAACGTCGCCTGGATCCTGTTGGGTTCAGTATAGCCGGTTTGCTGGTAACTGGAGAAAGTGTGATTATTGTAAGAGCCGACAGCTTTTGTTTTTATGAGAAAAGAGAAAAAGTGTTGAAATATTCGCACTGTTTTTAAATTTAATTAACCATGCCAGTAATTACTGTGTATTGTAATTCTTATTCCGGCTACGCCTACACTGTAGGCAGCAGGTGCGATTTCAAGCTACATTCTACTGGTTTCGGAACTAGCGGACAACGAAGGTGGTTCAAATTGCGACGAAAAACTTTTCAAGCTCCAACAGGAAATGATGTCCCACAATGCGAAGTGCTGGAACGGCAGCTTTAGCGCATCCAGCTAACGTGGTTATAACATAATGCGGTCGTCTCCGTGTTCATCATGCCGTGACCTTGCATCCGGTTGCCCTGTACCAAAGGGACTCGTCGAACGACGTTGCCACAAGAATAACCCTTTAATTTTTAAGTGGGTGCTAACGTTTCCGTACTACATAGCGTATAAATTCGTTAGGCTGGCATACACAAAACGTTTTTGGACAAATAATCCCAAAAAAGCAGGCGGCTTTTTATGGATTGCCTCTGGTGGTCGCTTGTCAGCCGTGCTATTTCATAGTACAAGTGCTGCATATTTCTATGTCAAAACTAAAAATCGAGTCGTACGAGAAAAATATGGTATCTTTATAAAAACCGTTCAATAAGCCTGTCAAGATTAACCCATAGGCTTCAAGGCTTGTGTTAATGTGGTACATATTCAGCAGAACACTTTTATTAAAGTTCATAATAATTATATTGCATTACTACATAATAGACAATAGTTATTGTAAGTTGTAACCAGTACGTGTACACTTCCTGGCAAAAACCTGAAGAACTTTCCAAACACAAAGTCTCTGTGCATAATAAACTGTATAGTACATACAGTTGAATAATACAAACGACTGCATAATAAACTGTATCGTTGTAGTTGTTAAAAACTGATTGCATACCGAAACAGGCATGGGAAAGTTCAGTAAACAGACATCACTTTTTGATTTGTCTATAGTCAGCAGATTAATCAAAACGCGAGACAAATCTCAGTATCCCATTTACGGTCCGAAGAATTTCCCGCATGTTCCTTCCTTGTCCCCGTCTTTTTTGAAGAAACACTTTTCGTTTCCGGCATGGCAAGGCTTGCTCTTTGAGCATTTGGCGCCAATCTCTCTTTTATCCAGTCTTACGCTCGCAGCATTGCTTAACGCTGCTAACTACAAACATCAAAATCCTGTAAATTATCACGCCCGCGGCTGCAGAGAATGTCTGAGACAACTTCTGTTCAAAATTTCACGCTACCAGTACAATGTCATCCAAATGATGTTACTTTTTAAAAGGCTGTTGCAGCGATGCTCTTGCCTGTAATGCAGTATTCCTATATTGAAAACTGCTTGATATTGATTGCCTCATATGGCTTGATATACTGCTTGGTATGCTGAGAAGCTAGAGCCAAAACACTATCGCATGTTATATGAAAATTAACACTTGCTGTTATTCTGAGTATGAACAACAATATGCGAATACAAGTAAGCTTACCGCAAAAAGAAGCGCACACACGAAGAATCCCGAGAAGGTGAAGAACTTCATGGCGAACCGGCTGCTTGAAATTAGGTTTCTTCAAAACTGCAAACACTTCTTGAATTACAATACTGCAGCAAAATCTTTTATTGGTTTTTATTATTTCAGTTATTCTGTTTTCAGTGTTGTGTTTATACCACAATATAATCTAAGTTTAAGACCAGAAGAAAAAAGCATACCGTATCAATCGAAACAGGCCAATCTGGACGTTTGCTACCACTGTTGGACTGGCAAGTGCGTTGCTGTTGTGGCTTTATTTATTAGTTTGAAACCGGGAATTTCCCAAGCAAAGTCATATTTCAATGAAACGTTGCAAAATACGGCTAAAATGAACCGGTTACGTGTATGTGGCCATAGCATCAACAAGAAGTACGACATAAAAGCACCGTTAAAAACAAACTAATGAAAATGAACAAATATTTTCCAAACGAACGATTTCGTTGCGGCGTGCGTATGACTTCGCGAAGCGCGGTGCTTGACTACACAGCTGCATGTTCTCTGATCAAAGCACAAAACGTCGATTTGATATCATAGAAAATTAATAATTTTAGGGTGTGTTGAACACATGAGTGTGTTTTTGGTTACCAATACTTATATTCTGTGTTGGCATTTGATGAGGTAATACGAGGTACAGTATCAGCGGTAAGAACTGCAATAACGCTCCGCCGTCAAAAACATAAGCTCAGTACTTTGTCATGACAGGAGTTTGGAGTTCGTGAAAGAAGAAAAATATGGGAGCTAATAAATTTGGTATTATTATTGCCTTTTAGCTGTCTTCGGCAATCGCAAAAACAATTATACTCAGGAAAGGACCATTTGCACAGGACTCCATAAATGTTCACATGATAAAAAGTAAAAAGTGGAACAAAGTTCGATGAAAGTACCAAATGGAGTAGTATAATGGTGTCTTGTTCCATAAGGATGTCTTCACTAATAAGGTCCTTTAATCGCACGATCATTGCACAGTGATTATCATAATGTAATATTACACAAACATTGAGAAACGTTGACAAATAAGATCTCCCGCGAAGAACTGGTGTCGTTTGCCTTGGGTAGTCGTTCATTGTCCGCTATTTCCGAGAACAACAGAATATAACCAGTGGAAGCCCCAATCGCCTAATAATGATTAATGAAAAACTTAAGCTTAAAATGCGGTTATAAGTTTTACCGTGCACATTATATATATCGCATTTAAATTAGTGCCACTGTCCCAGTTGAATACTCTGACTATGTTAAACTAACTTTTAAGAAAGGTCACATTTTTAGAAAGAAAGCATTAGGTAATGATATACGGTAAAACTGCGCCATTTTTGCTCACGGTAATAACAGTTTCCCGGGTCACAAGCACGCCCGCCATCTTGAGACCAACAGGATCCAATCGTTGCTTCTTAACGTACTGCTTCAGAGGTTTGAAATCATATCCGAACGCCAGGCGGGTTATAGCTGACGCCTAAGATTTTTTGAAAAATGTTGGTTACATTAAGCTTAAGGTAACTGGTAATAAATTTATTACTAAACAATGCACATACACCTACAAGCTTTTACGTACTTTGTACTTTCATGCACTGCAAATTCATGTTGCTTGAGATGTTCTAGCCTTTACAGGGTACTGAACTACTTACTTTTTCAGTGACGTAAATATGTCCAAATGCGTATATGATGAGCATATATACGCTTTCAACAAGTTGCGGGAAAGGTTCGACATCCAAGATATGATAAGCTTTAAACCACGCTGCCATTAAGTAAGCATCGAACATAACGATGGTCAGCAACTAGATATAAAGCAGTGCACTGACCATCGACATTGCGCAACTGAATGTGCGGACTGTATGAACCAGACCTTGATGCTCTTGTAGAAGTGACGCTATCGTTGTCCTGCTTCTGCTTTGACTCATTTCATGTGCAAGGTTGGCTGTGATTTGATTAAACTGCTTCCCCAGGGTGACAGCAAAGAATACGGTAAAATGCGTGAGCAGCACGGCGGTAACTTTTCCTACTCTGTAAAAGACGCAGTAGAAAGCGTACATGATTCTGTAAGTACTGAACGAAAAATAAAGCTTCACATGAGAATAATCATAATCAATGCTTCCGTCACAGAATGATGGGATATCGACAGTAAAAATGTTCTGTAACGAAATGACCATTCCCATCACCAAAATCAGTCCGCACAGAATATGAAGTTCCAGTATGTCTCTTTTTCTCAATATGGCACCCGATTTTGCTGCCATTGACTTAATGGCCTTTCCCACATCGTTATTAAAATAAAAGGCAATAAAATAATACAGCGGCACTGATATTTCCAACGCAAACAGGAAAAAATGCAGCGTGTTTGCCGTAAATGAAGTGTCCGTAGTGATCGTTTTGGGAAACTCGGCGTAAACACAATAGCCAATAGCCAGCAGTTGAAAAGCGCCTGACAAAATTGTGAGAACGCGGAAAAGAAAACTTCGTTTTACCCCCAGTTCGTCTAAAGGATATACGGAAATACCAAATAACTGCAATGTCACCAGCCAGGCATCCCAGGATCTCTGGATTCCCGATGATCTCCCGATATCGCTGCTTTTCACTACGGTAAAAAAACCGACTTCTGGCATGGCAAATAATGCTGCGGCTCAATCAGATTACCGTTGATTCAGTGAACGCCAGATAAACGCCTTCTTGCAACCTGTTCTCACCAGCAACGTGAATGACCGTGGTTAACAAAGCAGAATGAACAACTTCAAGGTGTTATTCTGCTGACCTTTGCCCATAAGTTCTCTCATGCCAAAAGCGATTCTTCCGGATTAGACATATGCTCTATCTCGTGTTTACGTCAGCAATGAGTAATAAAAGACTTCATCATGACGGCTGTGACAGGCCGTATGCAAAACAAATAATTATATAATATGTATGTTGTTCAACTACAGATACGTATACTTCGTTGACAACGTCAAAGCACGCATGTAAATAGATTAAGTGGAATAACCGCGGATTATCACACACCAGATTTTAAAAAAAACCACAATTGACTCGCATCTAATATTTCGTACCGCTTTCCAGTTATAACCCGCCTTTTTACGTATACGAATTCTGACTTGTTAACTTCTGTTCTGACTTGTCAAGTGACTTCGTCGCCTGCCATAGTGCGAAAAAAGTTGACAGATGACACGGTACTCGCGGTGTATATCTTTTACAGGTCAAATACCGAATAGCAAAAACAGCAGATATATAAAAATGTGTTGTCAAAAACGCCAACTGCAAGTTAGGTCTTTGTCCTGATCCTCGGTTAGTAAACTGCGACTAACGATGCTGCTACAAAAACTATGGACGCTTTGGCTGCTCATTCTGCAGCTTTTTGGATTTTTTCTGTATCCATTTTGTAATATTCATGCAGTCACATACAGGTCCTGCCAAATCCTAACTGCCGCCTTTGACATGCTACAGGTTCTGGCTATATGTTATTGCTGTTACAACGAAATTCATCAGTCAATAGGATTTTTTAAATCATTTTCTGCGCTAGTGTTATACATTGGTAGCTGGTTGTTGGATATAGGCACCGCAGTGTATTCTTCCTGCATTTTCTTTCGATCAAGCAACGTTATTCAGCAGTGGGTCGAAACCGTTATAGCAGGTGCCGATAACTCCTTATCTATTCGCGCCAAGCTGGAAGTCCTGACTTTTGTGTGTGTTGACGTCTGTCTGATCATTCTTCTGCTGGTGCATAAGATCATTAACGTCGACATTAATGCATTTGATGTATCTGTACACGAAGACTTTAAGTTGGTGCCAGTATATTCCTTCTCTTTCGCTATCTACAGAAAGCTATACGTTGGTTACTGTACGTTTTTTCGCATTGCCTATTTTAATAAGTTATTACTGCGAAGTTTTATCATCAGCTGTGCTATTCTTTTGGGGAAGCGTTTTTGTGTTTGGAATGAACAAATTACCAAAATTTTGGCAAATCCAAAGCATTCAAAGCCGGTATCGCTGCTGCTGGAAGAGCATCAGCATCTCGCTAATCTAACAAAATCGTTCGATTCCGTTATGTCCGGCATTAATGGTTTGTTGTACTTCCAGTCTTTGGGAAACATGACGTACTCGATCTTTATAGTGGCTGGCCAATATAAGACATCCCAGACGCTGGATGTTTACTACTTTACCTCACTTGTCGAAAGTTTAAGCTGTCTTCTGGTAACGGCTTTTGCGTTCGTGTATCTGTCCCAAAAGGCAAGTTATGTCCAATATGTACCCTTACATCAACACTAAAACTTTCTCTTTCAAATTTTGATTTAGGCTTCTTGCACTGTAAAAGTCGACCACAAAGGTGACGCTGAGGTAAAACAGTATTCAGACCAACGAAGGACCGATCCTGTTGGATTCAGCATTTCAGGATTGTTAGTAACCCGGGACACCGTGACTGTTGTAAGCAAAATTATTACATAGTTGCAGACTAATATAGCAAAACTGAGTTATAGTTAGCGATTCGCTTTTGCGAAATTCCTACGCTTTTCTGGCAGAAAACAGCAAATAGCCTTTTGTTTTACTAACTTTTGGGGATTAGAAATTTATTACATTGCGCAATATTCTAAATAAATCAAATTGAACGGCAACTAATGCAACCTGACGCTGTTTAATGTCTAGTGTAGAGTAGCTATATTTCTGTATTATTTGCAGGCAGCGGGTGCGATCTTGAGCTACATTCTGCTCTTTTCGGAGCTGGCCGAAAACGAAAGCAGTTTAACCTGCAACGCAAACGCGTCACTGCCGCAACAAGAGCTGACTTTATGTAACATTTCTCTGCTCTGTAACATCAGCACAAGCACGAATTTCTACTAGCGAGTACAGTACGAGAACGGTTGTAGCGGAATGACAGCAATCGTTTTCATTCAGCATATAGTAGTGCAGTTTTGCACTGACGGTTCGCTGCTCTTTAAGTCGATCTCCGAAACGTGATATTACTGGTAATTCCTGCATTGGACATCCCGCCGATCCCGGCGGTCATTCACTTTTTTACGTCCGATCGTTCGCGATGTGATACCTGTCACCTATACAAATAGTATCGTTGAACAAGGGCTGTGCAAACAGCTACGCATTTCTGAAACAGTTTTAAAACTGTTATCGACAAAGCTAGAAAGCATTAAACAGTAGCATTAACGTGGCTGCTGTTGTTTCCGCCTTTATTCAGACATAATTTGTATCTTGATCAGAATGCAGAGGGCATGTTAAAGGTCACTGTCACATACAACTTTCCAGTCGCTGTTGTACATATCGAGTGTTCAGAAGGGTTTTACGTTACGGATGTTTCCACCATACATTTTTAAGGAAATCGGCAATTCGATATTCCGTCACTTGCGCAAATTAAACATTGAGGAAAAGAAATAGCGTTTTTCCGGTTTTGTTGATCGTGTGACGCAAAATGGCACACTCGACATCGATATGGCACTTGCCGTGGGAAATGTGGTCGATAAGGACACAGATTAAGTTGGAACTTCGAATGAGTTACTAACAAAATTCTGTTGAATCTAGTCTTGTATTATTTTGTAAACACTGCCTTTTTTTCTTCAAAACGTCTGGGGAAGTATTCGTTTAAACGTTACATGACGAAGCTTTTCTAAAATGCAGATTACGATAAACGGATTTTGGAGCGCATGGCTTGTATCCTTACAACTATTTGGATTTTTCGTTTATCCCTCTAGCAGCAAAATATCAATAAAACAAATGGTCTTTAAATTTTTCACCATTATCAATAGTTTGCTACAAGTTGTAGCCTTGAGTTACTGCTGCTACAATGAATTTTCAAAATCCGTCAGAGCGTACGATAAATCGTTTATTGCCGTAATGCTGTTCCTGACCACTTGGGTGTTGGATGTCATTGCGACTGCCTACTGTTTTTTTGCCATCTTCCAGTCGAGTGAAGTTATAACTGCTTGCGTTCAAAAAGTTACCGCTCACGCTGATTGCTTTTTAGACAACAAAGCAAAATTAAAGATCTGTGTTTTCATTGGATTTAACCTCTTGACAATCACTGCCACCTCGACATATAGAGCGATTTATTCGGATGCCGCTCCGTTTACCGCTAATATGCATGCAGATTATGCACTTATAAAAGCGTTGATTCCATTTCCCCAGTATAAAATTTTATATGTAGTGTACGCTATTCTGTACCGGATTGGGTGCGTCGGAGAATTAATCTTGACTAGTTTTACGGGGTGTTTTGCTGTCGTGATTGGAAAGCGCTTCACAGCAATCGCCGACATGCTTGAAAACGTAAAACAGCAGAAAAGTAAATGCTCTACCGAGGCTGTTCTGCAGGATCATAAAAATCTTGCAGAACAGACCAAAGTATTCGATTCTGCAATGTCCACGGTTAATATTCTGCTGTATATTCGATCCTTGGCTGACGTTACGTACGCCATTTACAACATTGCCTTGGAGTATAAATTAACTCGCGACTTAAGCCTGGATGACTGCATATCACTGGTGGAGGATTTATACTTTTTAATGCTTTATGCTTGTACATTTGTATATTTAACCGAACAGGTAAGACCAGACTCTTACTGGTAATGCCGATTTGTATAAAGTCTTAATTGTGTTTGTGTAGGCATCTCAAATTACGAAATTCGCGGACAAAGCTTGTGCTAAGGTCAATCAATACATCGACAAGTATCGCCTGGATCCAGCAGGATTTAGTATGGCCGGCCTGCTGGTTACGAGGCATACTGTTATCATCGTAAGTCCGATAATATAAGGAAAATGCCTTATGGGTCAAAGCTGAACTTACTAAACGCAATGTTAAGTTATTTGCACATGCGGAGCCAGTCTTATGCAAAAGCTGGGAGCTTTAGAAAGCGTAGTATGTACTATATAAGCGCAGCTGCGCAGGCGCTTTGCAGTGCTGTTTGCATAATATGGCGTTAATGTGTTGTACTTGTGACACTGTGCAAAATAAGCGAAGTTGTTTTATTTAGGGAGCCGGGGCTATTTCCAGCTACATCTTATTATTTTCGGAATTAGCGGATAACAACACGTTATCATCAAATTGCGAAAATGTTGTCACGTGGAAGCAACTGCAAGAATTATTAACTAATATGTCTGTACGACATCCATGCAACGTTACCACCAACGAGTAAATAAGTCGACATGTAAAAGGCTTATTATGAAGTTCATATCTACCGGCGCCTTGTTCAAAATTATTCGTATTTACAGCAAGAAATGACTTACCGAAATGCATGTTCATGCAGTATTTGGTGTTTAGGTCACCCTAGGTAAAGGATATTAATTTGGCAACGCACCGTCGCACTATGCCACCGTTCGCGTGCTGTTTAGTTGTAAGCCACGGCATGCGAATAAAACATCATCAGTTTACCACTAATAAATTTATCATCATCCCGCTCTACATCACATTAATGTTAATTACACCAAACCGATATCACAGGACTCGCATTAGTTTCAATGTACTGCTTGCTACTGCTATTCCAATAGGTTTATAATGCCCGGATTCTAGGACGGTATATCACTCCAGCAGGCAGTAGATTTCGAGGTTTCCTTTGCCCTGTTGGAACAAAAACGTATTATGTGTTTTAGCCATCTACATACATTTCCTGCGCCCATGTGGCTTATACGTATTATAGCAAAACTATCATTATTAAGATTTATTACTGTATTAAAAGCACTGCTGAAGAGAAGCATGCGGTATGTCAATGCTTACCATATTAGCAGTAGTACGCGTATACCTAAGTACAGTACTACAGTGTATACGAACGCAAGCGTAAGTTCAGAAAGGTCACCTTAAAAAACACTTGACCCCGGTATTCAGTTGGCAGCGCCGTCTGCCCAATTAAATCTTTTGTCGCCTGGGTGATTTGGATGGTCCAGTCAGTATTGTTTGCGGCCACTCGTGAAGCCGTATTAATCGTGTCGCCAAATCTGGTAATTAGAAGACAGACCTATTTAACCAATAACCGAAGCCAAAAAACCGTCTTAACGCACAAGCAGTATCGTGGTCGTGTTGTACCGACAATTCCGGCGACGCATGGCCCTACGACCAGTTACGCGATTATTTTCGAGGTTGGCGTTTTGTTGTGCCAGTAATTACATTTACCGGTATTGATCCCTATTTTTACGTTCAAACTATGCGACATGCGTCTGGCAATTTCTGGAAATGCCTTTCGGAATCCCTGAGCGCAGAAGCAAATTTCTTGGGCATGACGTGTTTCGTTGCGCTCTGGTACACCGCTGGCAACCTAAAATGGTTTTGAAAGAAAATAATGCTACTGTTATTCCCTCTTTTCTTGTACGTTACATTAGAAAATCCGCGTTTGTACATCAATCTGCTTCTACGGTATACTGTAAACCGGTATACTTTGTTGAGCGACGAAAATACGCGTTTGACTCACCATATAACTGTCATTGATAGTCTCCACCTTGTACGCGTCATAGCGACCCACGATGTTGTCGAACGAAAGAAACATTTCATCCAGGAATTTGATTATAAGCAAAGGATAATCTGTATTGTCGATAACAAATTCAGCGAAACCAACAGTGTAAGAGAACATCAAGGAGATGCACTCGAAATGTTCGGGTGGGATTGTTTTCTCAGTTTTCAGCCGTATAACAATCTGTCTGAAAGCATCATCTGCGTGAACGGCTACTACTACTGTACGGCTGGAGATTGTCAGTGTATGTCGCCTCTACCTTGGAAGCAGTTCACTCAGCAGGGTCTGATTGGCGTCGATTTCTTTAACCAGTTCATGGGTTCGCTCCGTAACTGCATCTTCCAGCTGAAACGCGTGTCTTTGCAGTCGTTGAAGAATGTTATCGGTGAGGTTTCTTTTGCCGGTATCAAACATTTTGGAAAAAACTCTTCGAATGACATTTATCGTTGGTCGTTGACCGGGGTCATTTTCCCGGCATTTGGCTACGAGTGATTGAAATCCAGCAGCAACTGCTGGAGAAATATTACTGTGTTCTTCTAAAAAATACAAAAAAGCCATTACAGCGTTTTGCTCTTATTAGGCCAAAAATATTAGTCCTCACGTGTTGGTGCGGTAAAATTAATAAATCCGGTTATAGCACCTGGGTCGGTGTACTCGGGTAGCAGTTGCTTGATTATACAGGAAAATACAAAGATATCCGACGCTGACGTTGTTGACCGGCTCCACAAATCCATGCTTTGCACTCGCAGTTCGGGGGCGACGTAGTCCATATCCTTTTCCTGGGTGACGTCTTTCAAAATGTCTATGTATGCCAACCCGGAGATTTGCAAAACGAAGCGCTTATTAACCAGACATCTCTTTAGATGGAGACGCCCATGTCGTTTCAGTGAAGAATGATGGATGGCATACAGTCCCTATCCAAACATATTAATATAACTTATTTCTTGATTGCGAGGAGGGTTAATTTGGGTGTTTTACCATATTGCATGTATATACATCATACATATACACATGATCATGATACATCCGTTAATTTGTAAATTTTTTGTTTATCAAAAAGTAAACTGTTAGTGTTAGTAATACAGACTGATGAAATTCCGTGAAATATCTATACTCCATTTACTTGTTTTATGTACCTCAATAAAATCACCCGCTAAACTGATTCTCAGATCCGGGTCTTGCATCTCTGCAGTTTTCAAAATATCGGCTAAGCTTCCCTTTTCGGCAAAGTCGTTTACCATCAGTAATCTGCCATCAACTGCTATGATACCGTATAACAGTCCGACATTGGGATGCGAGAACTCCCGTAGCTGCAAACGTTAAAGCAATGATTTCCGATTTTCATAGATCTTTTTTAACAAATGTACCTTCCGTAGCGCACAAAGCGATTTCCGGTCGGGGAACGGCGCGTTCGGAGGAACTGCAGAGTTGTGCACCCATACAATTTGCTCTTCGGGTACCATTAAGCACTTGCCGGTGAAAGAATTTTCATTTTGATTTCGTTGGTTTAGCGATTTTAATTCCGGTAATGCCTTTGCAAACAAACAAAATCGGTATAGTTAGCTAAATCACCTTTAATTGTGCAGCATTAGGCAATATTAAACTGCAGTGCATAATTCAAAAAAGCTGCTTACATGTAAAAAGTAAAACACTGAAGATTTACCTGAATATCTGCAAGTCTTTCAACCGGCATTTTCCACCAAAAATCGTGCATTCTTTGGATTCGATGCTTGCTAAATAAATTGTAATTCTTCAAATGCTTTGTTTTATTATCGTTCGATAATAGTTATAAGTACAAAAATATTATGTTGATGATGATTTGATCCGAACCAAGATGAACGTAATACTTTATCTATTAGAGTAGCTATAGGCAATTTAGTATCTAAAAATCGATGGCGATTTTTAGTATAACTTCTAGCCTCCGTACATATAAAATCCCATTGCCACTAGCATCATGAGGACTGGCAGACAAACTCCCAGAACGGTCGCGACAGTAGAATCTGTTGATCCAAAACTGCTTTACATACGAGTACATGTTGTTGCACGGGCTGTTGTTGGCAGAAATATATCGTGTTCATTTCTTTACAAACCTGGCTTTCGGCACCGTTCAGCATCACCGGTAAAGCCGCACCACGGTTGACTCGGTGGAGGAAGACCTGTTTTGGTTGCCCACGTAATATTCGTTCCCGGTATTGACTTGACTTTGGAGTTTGTTGAATCACAGATCATCTTCCTCTGTTTCGATGCGAATCAAATGGACCGCGCGCAACCGAAACCATTTAGAGATTTTCTTACCTCAAACTCGCCCGTTAGTGTACTGAAAGCATTGACGCAGACTTTGTTTTGTCGCTCTCCGTACTGATCAATACGGAATGCTCCAATAACCGGAACGAGAAACTGTCGGTTTTGTAGACGTTTGGTAAGTAATCGAGCATTTGTTGTGTCTTCTCCGGCCGCAATACTTTCGTTGATGGCCTGAGTAAGGGTCGAATTACAATACTCAAATAAAGCGACCATGCGCAAATTTAAGTAAACAGCAAGGTTTATGTGTTATTGTATTATACAAGCTATAGGAGAAATATAAAGTCCCTGCAACACTAATTTGTTTTTCGTTTAATACGGTACCTGAGCTAAAGTATGGACGAGGGCGTATGCTGTTACGCTGAACTCATTGGGCTGCAAAACACTGATATATTTTTTTTATGTTTATCGTGCGTCAGGAAGTCGCTAAGCAAAGTCGGATATTTATGTTTAAGATTTCCATAATAATATCGTTACTCAAAATAATCTTAGGGCATTTGTAACTTGGAAAACAAGGGCTTACACCGCTTTTAAGGGGGTAGGTAGAATTATAATCCAGAGCCGTTCGTCGTCTCCATTCTGCCCGTAAACGGTCTATACCGGTGTCATAATCCCAGCAATTGATTATCTGTAATAAGCCGCGATAGGCAACTTTGGCAATCTGCAAGACGAGAAAATCGACCACATGTTAGGTGTGTCACGTTGTACACTACGAGCACAGTCAATACATTGGTAGCTCGCGTCATACCTCTTGGCTAAATGTCAGCTGTTTAACTACTGTACTTAGGAAAACCTTGTCTCTCTTATTTATTACGTAGTTTGATCACATATGGCTTAAGTCAGTAAACATAAGATCAATAATTATGATGGAAATACTCTGTAATAGCAGACCGAGAATTACAGCGAAGCAGTTTAAAAAACAACGCGACAATGCGGCCAGAACTCAGGGGAATTTCGGGTGCAGTCGTAACCTTGATGACCTTTAATTTTTCGAAGTTTATTATTCTCCTTTATTGGCAGCCTTATTTTCAAAAGAAATTATTTGTTTTATTTTCTTTACCTCATCATCAACTTCGAATCGCTGCCACGTCGGTGGTCCGAGTGAATGTTCGGCTAAATTCACCGCAAACCAAACCTACAGCCAAGCATTTCGATCACTTAAAGAGTACGAGTGATATTAAATATGTATTGGAGCAAAGAACATCAATAACATCCGTTTAGGCACGTAAAATCCATACATATTCTTCATTTGTTTGGTTCCGTATATAAGCGCGAATCTGTAAAATAATAAATAATTCTGGTGTGCAAGTCGGTAGATTTTCCACAGCACACAGTAAATTACGGCCATGTCTGGCAGTATTACCATGATTTCTCTCGTTACCCAAGGAGGCACGGCTAAGAAAACAACTGCAAAAAAACCCAACTGCAGTCGTTTCTGTTTGGTTGGAATTAAGTTTAATATAAGGCTCCGTGCTCTAACCAGTAAGTTGTACACTAAATTAAATATGTTAATTTTGTAATACAAAAATTGCCAAGGTGGAAACATGCAAAGTTGCGAAATTGAACCTGATGTTGTATTTGTTATTGCTGACATACCGCGACATCGCTCTCCAATGCGGGTCAATAGGGACTCAAAATTCCACTCTTTGTAACGATATGGATCCTGCACTGCAGGAAGGATTGGATTTCTACCCCCGGTGAGTAAATTTTGACGAAACGAACAAGACGCTGGTAAGTCCAGGCATTAAAAGGCATGAGACCGGAAATATCATATATGTATCCGATGGTCGTCCAGTTGTAACGCGCGCACAAATCCGCGATCACCGTCGCATACAGATCATATTGGACCGGACCGACTTCTAGCGTCGTGGGAAAAAGCTCCCGATCCCGGAATTTTGAAAAAATAGTTCCACTGGAAAGAATTTCAATAATATTATCGGCAGAAAATCTTTAAAATGCTTTAGCAGCAAGCAAAAAATTTTAGGAGTTTTTTTTATCGTACAGTACAGATATATATGTCGACTACACAACCACAACGTATTCTGGAACCGGTCAAATTACAGTAGATACTACAGCATGTTAAGAAGACTTAGACTTGGATAATGTACGTCAATACTATCCAAAAAGTTGCCCGCAAACATACCATGACGCTATTAAAATGTTCCATTCTGCAAAAAAAGGCTGCAAATATATCCCGATATTCGGATTTCCAAAAATTTACTTACGATTTCGGAACGTTTTGCTATATACCAGTACAATACCTTTGCCTAAATGAGCGAACGTTGGCGAATCGTCACAACCTGCAAAACAGTCAATATATTTCTGCTTAATTTCTGAATTGTGAATGCCTGCTTGGCTTAATTAATTTAAATCCTCGCACCCGCGTAAATAAAAATTAAAACATCTTTCTTTCGATTGGCAGTAGAGCGATTAGCACGTCGGTAATAGTAGTCCACCACATCCGTAAAATAAGCACCATTATCAACACAGTCCTTAACGTTCGCACTGGACACATAAATTTGTGACAAATCGAATGAACTGCCGAATGTCTGCTGTACTTCGGTAACAGCCAAGTCAAATCCGGGACCCATAAATGGTAAACACTGCACCAAATAAGGGGGCCAGTTTCCATACAACATTAATGTGACATTCAGCGCTTTCACGTTAAGGATATTTCTGCATAGCACTAAAACAAGTACTCGTACGGATGTCCTGGATACCTTTGTGATCATGCTTCGGATTTCAGGATAAAATCCAGTAAATGATGGGTTTTCTCTCATATGGCCAAAACTAAATGCAGGCTAATGCGGCTAGATGACTTAAGCGCAACTGTAGCGATGGTATTCATTTTATGGATTCAGTAGGCTGAAGTGGAAAGTTCACATCCTGTGATCGCGGCTTTCGTTACGGAAAGAGGATGCCGGCTTATACCGGAAGCCGATTTGACAGGTAAAGACGATGCCGCAGATGAGCCAGTAGGATACCAATAAAGAAATTCGACCGACAAACGCAGTTAACTGGCAGATATGTCGTTTCTGTTTATGCAAGCCAAACCGGCTGGGGAACGCCAGCAGAAGACAGGATGATACGGCTTCTCATCTCCTTTCTTTTAAAACAAAAATAACCGCACCGGAATGTTCCAGCTTCGTAAGTAAAACGCGAAAACGATTCCATTTCCCGAAACTTTAACGGCTGGAAATAAAATATGTAGTCTTTAAAGATTTATTGAATCTCCAATACTCCATCACATGCAGTACTAGTAGTACGTATACCGTATTCTTATTGCACGTGTTACTGCTGTAAATTTAAAAAGCAGACTACAGTACTTCGAAAGTACACAAGACTTAAAAAGTACATTAACTGTATTACGGTAGCATCCTGCACCTCTTCAATATAATGCTTAAAGTAAGCACCAATCTACATTTCCACTGATACCCTCTTGTTTGCACTGTAACCTGCTGATATTGGAGTTTCCACTGTCTACCAGTATCTGTAACTGTGAATTTATCTTAAACATTGCAATAATATTGCTACACATGCCTTCATCCTTCGGACCAAACGGAAATCTCATGGGAGTTTTTAGAGTGGTGCTTTGGCATAAGGTTGGATGTTTAGGTAAGTAAAACAGAATTTCATCGAAACAGCGGTAAATAAACGTGAGATCTTGTTTCCAGTTTTTGCAAATCTGAGGCCGAATATATATATATATATATTTTGTCTGTTGCAGTTTTCCTGGCTTAGTTGGATAAATTTCTTTTTCTACAAATGAGCGCAATACAGAGCATGTTGGTCTTAGGTTCCGTCTGCCATCGTCAGAAAGGTCAGTCGCTCTTAGTTTCGATCAAAAATGTAGCTGTTATGGCTAACCTGACCACTTACAACGTCAACAAAACAAACAGTTTCCTCAATCAGAATCTCGAGACAATCAATAGTGCATTGTGACAGCTATGGGATTCAGTGCTATCAGGTTTTCATTAAGTATTAACACACTGCTCATCTGAAATGTGTATTACCTGATTGGTATGCCTGAAACAAGGAAGACGTTGATAGATGGTTGTTTCCTCGCTCGTATCGTACAAGGGCGTTTGTATTTACTTTATAAAATATCACCATATGGTGCCGAACGCCCCGCGTCGTTAAGCGCCGCGTTGCTTTTCACAACGACATTGGAAATGTTTATGAAAACGAGTCTTACGGAACGAAAGAGAGAACCAGACGATTCTGTAGACGATTTAACTGAAGGTTGAGCTGGATGTACGATGCGATACTTGCGGCGCCGTCACCAATAGACTTCTGAATGTTTTGCAAGTCGCAACGAAGCAGTTCTGCTTTACTCTAGTTTTTTGGGGTCTAGGTATGGGAACGTCCGTTATGTGTTCAAATAATCATGGAATATCCTGGAACTTGCGCTGTATACTGCCGTTAGATTATTCACTTCCAGAAAAAGACAGTGTGAAATGCTGCCGGCGCAGTGTGCTGCAAGACAAGCGCTTATTGACATGCTACGTGGCTAAAGGAATTAAAATCATATACATTACCGTTGTTATTTTGTATTTGCTGTGTGCATCGTACTATCTTCTTTCAACAAGTCACATCCGTTGTGGCCTTTCTGGAGTCAGCGAAATACCTCGTTAAACAAGCCTTATCCGTCTCCATACTGTTGATATTTATAGGCAAGCGAGCTACCTTTCATAAAATTTGTTACGCGAAGAAAAGTTTCATCAAAGCTAATGATGGTCTTGGAACAAGCGATTTACATATACGAAAACTGGAGTTAGGCCTTTTCATATTGTATGTTTTTGTGGGGATCTTAAATTATGCACTGGTCGCTTTGGATTACACGGTCGGAATGAACGCGACATCCCGTATTGTGCAGCCATTTCAACCATTCTCGAATTACACTTTCGACTTCTTCAGTATCGAAGCTTTGACGCTTCCGTTCATGGACTTTCCGGTGTACTTTTCACAAGTAGTAATCACGATATTCTGCGCGCATGCGTATTTTGGCAAAAGATCTGTGGGAAAGATGGTGGATATCTTTCTTGCGGACAAAGAAATGCTGACAACCAAAGACGTGGACAAGATGATGTTGTACAGATCCGCGCTAAGAAGCTATTTCAAAGCTGTTGAACAATCTTTTTCGCTGATAAATTTATTGCAGATTATTTCACACGGATTCCCCATACTCAGTTATCTGCATAGCTTTACCAAAGTGTGCGATGTGGAAGTGTCTCGAGCACTGGTCTTATTTCTCCCCTCTATGATTATGCTGCTAAATATTTTCGTATTGGCTGTACAGGTCGGTTTTATGATCACATTTCAGGAACAGGTAACAAAAAAATTCCCAGATATACAAGCTTGGCATTTCCGTTTTTTAAGCGAGAATTAATTAAGTGGTGCTTTAAAACTAGGTGGATCGTTTGATTGGAAAACTGTTCCAATTAACGGATAAAGTTTCCACCGAAGCAACACTCGAAGAATTTGCCACAATTAATCATTTTCGGATGACCTTGCTGGATTTCAGGCAGACACCACTGAGATTTACAGCTGCAAAATTCTTCGTCATAGATCTGACGTGTGGGAGTAGGATCACACGCCGGAGTGACGTGTGGGAGTAGGATCACACGCCGGAGTATGTACGGATGCTGACTGTCCGCCTTCCACCTGCAACGTAAAGGATAATCTAGTCAATCTCTTCTGTGATTTGCTGTTCTCTTTTACTAGCGGTGTATATGATGTCATAACGCGAAGTCTATATAAGTTCATGTCGCCACTAATATCGGCAATCAGTAGTCTGAGATTTACTTCTGAGACTGCTTCTAATTACGATTTCCTAGCGTTGTGAACTGTGATGTGAATTGGATAAAGAGACAGCAATACTTGTTCCTTCTGATGTACATGATCGATCCCGGATTATTGCATAGAATACAGGTTTGCTCGTGACACAATCGTCCTAGCTCTTGCCGATCCTCACAGGACTTACGACCGGAGGTTGTAGTTGGACTCTTCGTTAGGGATTCCTGAGTTCCCGTGTTCCTGAATCGTTCGTCTTATTTCCACCATAGTTCTTCTGTTACAGTTTGAGAGTACGAGGGCCTACCGACTGACATTTACAGGCGTGGAAGAGTAAAGATTGTTCATGGAGCCTCAAACGGCGTGAACGCTTATACACGACAGATCGAGGATTTATTGCTGCGGTATGTACTTTGTTGTTCATCCCGTCAGCGCAATGTTTATTATGGCTCGCATTTGTTTATTTGCTTTAGATGACGGGATGTTTCATGACTTACGCAGTTGTGGTTAAAGAAATCCTTAAAGAAGCAACAGTTGCCGCTCATGTACAGTAGCTTCGTATCGACTGTAGTGTGGTTTTGTATTCGAATAATGCTACGAATTTGGAATAATGCTAAGCATTATACCATTTCAGCCAATTTGTATGTGCTTAGCATTATTCAAGATGAGATAATTTGTATATTTGCTAAGCATTATCCAAATTGCTAGAATTTGAATATTGCTGAGCTTTATACTAAATAGCGTTTTCGGAATAATGCTAAAAACGATACAAAATTAAAAGTATAAAATTTTTAATGTGCTTGAATTTATTTAAATGTGCTTATTAGAATTTGCACATTGCTATTTAAAGTTTGCACATTTGCACTTAGTTTGGACACAATGTGCGACCAAAATAAACCGCATTGTAGCTTATTTCGGTCGCACATTATGTCCATACGACTCCACAGGCACGGTGCAGTATGTACTACATACTGCGGCTCCGTTTTTCGGGTTTTCCGATTAAATTTAAGTACATTAAAAATTTTGGAAATTGCGATTCTATATGCCTCTTAGCATTATTCCAAAATCGCTAATTGGTATAATGCTTAGCATTATTCTTAACCTCCTGCATTTGTATAATGCTTAGCAATATTCGTAATTTACGAATTTGTATAATGCTCAGCATTATACTAATTCAGTGGGTTACGAATAATGCTAAGCATTATACAAATATAAATACGAATCAATTCTGCTTAGCAAAAGCCACACTACCAATAACCAGCCTGCAGGTACGAGCAGACGTTCGTGTTTTCGGCTAAAGTACGCCTGTTATCATACCACGGTAATGATGCTCCTGTCAATGTTGAAGAGTCCACCGGCGACGAACCTCAACGGTGCTTGCTGCATGGACAAAAACGACATGCGACAATTTACGCTGGTGACACCGGCTTTGGCAGGTGCAACCTGATCCATGGACTGGGTCGCGCTTAGCACATCGGCGAGAAACCCTTCAAACTGAAAACCAAGCAGCCGTAAAAACCGCATCGAGTTGTAGTCAATTCGTTTAGCTTACTTCGTCCTGGAAGCGTGACACAACGATGATGGGCGCAGTAAATACAATGATGTGCAGCACGACTGACCACAGTAGCATGGCCGTTGACCAAAGTGTAACTGTGGCACTGAAATCCGGTAGATGCAGAAGAGTTTGCACAGAAGTTACCAGCATCCATCCACGCGATACGATGTGGAGAAAATTCACCCAAGCAAAAGTGTTTTCTATGGCCATGTGAAAGTGACGCAGTGCCAGCAAGACCTGGTGGATGTTGATAGTAGCCCCGACACTTAAACTCCCCGTATAATCCAGTGCGGTGCTGCTTGGCAAATATTTTGCTCGGAGATTTCGCAGATACTGTTCTTCACAATAAACATACAAACAAAAAATGATAATGACGAATTCACTAAAAAATGAGGCAATGATACCGAACGGGATGACGACAGCCTCCAGTACTGCAGATATTACAGCGCAACCAGGAACGCCGGCAAAGATGGCGCACATTGCTTCTGCGGTTTTCCGATCAGGATCTCTTAACGTGCCAAGAAAAACAAAAGTTGGCAAGTTCAAGGCGCAACAGAAAATAATCAAGATCGTGTCCAGTTTCTCATTATAGAAAACAGCGGGCGTTCCGAAACACCTGACGAGTTTATTCAGGTTTTTGTGATTGGGCGAGATGTTGCAGAAAACGCGTTTTTTGACAACAAATACACCGAGAACGCAGACCGACATAAACGCTTTAACAAAGAACGCTGGCATGTCCAGTAACATCATCATGGACTGGAATTAATTTTCTGATTGTGATAAAACAATGAAATCGGAACCCGTTTTCCCCACTCCTACTAGTACTAATTGTAAGAGAATGTGGCTTCGATAATAATTCAAGTGACCATCTGTATTTGAGCTGCTTTGCTACGCCCTCAAGGTTTCACCGATAAACTCGTTCCCTTTGTTTCGTTAATTTTTTATCAGATTGCAACATCGCGACGGGGGTGTGTGATATACTATGGCAACCTGCATGCACTCATTGCACTGTACTTGTATATATGTCACCAGATTATGGTGTTACGGGATGCGCTCCAAAGTGCAATTTCTGCATCGCCGACCGTCAGCAAAGGAGCCGCCCCACATATGAGGATTCGAACGACATTTGCCAGAATCAGAACATGAGAATATTACGAGGGGAAAGAACTCTTGCAGTGTGTACTGTGTACTGATGAACTTTATTCGTGACTTCCTCTACTCGAAACTCTCAACAAAACAGCAGCTCCAAAACCCGCGATGTAATCGCGCTTCTACAGTATTGGCGGCAATGCTAAACATCAAAGGCTTTACAAAAAAATAGCAAAACATAAACAATAGGTTAGCCTGAGAAGAAAGCCTGAGCCTGAGAAGAGCACGCCTACAGGCGTGAAGGAATTCCCGATGACACCATAAAAAGAACAGACATCATAATTTCAGGAATTCCAGAATATATTTGAGCTGATGCAGCCGTATGCCAATGTCTTCTTTGTCCAGTAATTTGAAATTTTAAATGCAGTCTGTATCACACTGCTTGCAGGTAATTAATAAGTTTCCTATCGTGTGTCGACATTCGGCAATCAGAGATGGCGCCTTGTATTGTATGTAAGAACGTTATAACAGGCAGTACACTTCCCATTCACCCTTTCCCTGAAAAAGAAATTACTGATGTTAGGTATTTGAAAAATGTGCTAAGATATTTGAAAGATATTCAACTAACTTACCTTCAAAAATATTTTTCCGCGATGCTCTGCCAAAATATTGGTTTCCCTTATTAACAGCCACGTTGTAGCGGTTATTTGAATTGTCCAGTCTGTGTTGTTTGAAGCAACACGAGAGGCGGTATTTATGGTGTCACCAAATCTGCAATAGTCATCTCATAAATTCGTTAATTTTCAGGTAGTATTTGAATGTCAGACAGTTTGTTCGTACAAGCAGTATCGCGGTCGTTTCTTTCCAACAATTCCGGCGACACAAGGACCTGAAACTTACTACGTGTTATTTGAGGCATGATGCAAATCCCATTGCACAGTGCAAGCGGATGTCTTTTGACCATATTCGAGTTCGAAAGGGCAAATATACTGTAATTATTTTTCGAAGAGCGTACCTGTGTTGATACCTATTTTGATTGCCAAATCGTGCGACTTTCCAATATCTAAAAACTTTTTACGAAAGCCCAAAGCGCAATGACAGATCTCTTTTGCGTGGCGATCTTCGTTGCGCTCTGGTAATCCACTCGCAACCTAAAACAAAATTGACACTAACGGCTTTACAAACCGAGCGGCGGTACAGTAGCTTATGACCGCGGAAAAAAATAACCAAATATGCAAAGGTCACAAGTACATGCAAAGGTCACAAGTAAGAATGCATTACCATACAGCTGTCGTTAATGGTTTCCACTTTGTACACATCGTACAAGCTGACAATGTCATCGAATGATACAAACATGTGATCCAGAAACCGCACCACATTCAACGGAACATCAGAATTCTTGGCGACAAATTCATTGAATCCAGTGGTATATGAAAACAGCAAGGAAACACACTCAAAGCTTTCCGGCGCGATTGCTGTGTCCTTTTTTAACCGTTGTACGATTTGTCTAAAAACCATTACGTGTAATACAGTACAATGCTAAACTCGTATCTAATCGTAAAGAGAACGAATTACAAACTTGGGGAGCAGTTCGCGCAGTAGGGCTTCGTTGGCTTCGGTCTCTTTAATGAACTCTTGAGTTCGTTCTGCAACGGTATCTTCTAGCTGTGAAGCATACCTTTCCAATCTCAGGAGAATTTTTTGAGCAAAATTCTGGTTATTTATGCCAAAGCTACTCTGGCATATCTTTCGAATTCTATCGATTGTAGGGCGTTGTGAGGGGTCATCGTCGTGGCATTTATGCAAAAGTGTTTGGAAATCATTGAATACTACTGCATTTCGTGCAGCAGTTCCTGTCACAAATGCATACACAGTACGCAAATTTTATAGACTTGGTTAAAATCGTAGTACCAAACCTTTTTTGAGCGTGTGATCGGGAATCTGTTCTGTTTCGGCGCTCTTAAAAACATGCTCTGGAAGAAGAGCGTGTGCGATATCAGCAAAGACATAAACAACGCTAGAAGATGTTGCACTGATTCCCCTCTCACAACTGATCCGACTGCGTAATTCAGGTGGAATGGATTGCAAATATAGGGTTTGTTTTCTAAGCAGTGCTCCCTGTTCTTCAAAATATCCTTAAATCCTAGTCCAGCTAATTTCAACATAAAGCGCTTGTTGATCAAACATTTATTGAGCGATAAGTTCCCATGGCGTATCAGCGACGAGTGATGAATGGCAGTTAACCCCTTAAAGGAATACAAAGGTCAAGCTTAAATTCTTCTAATTGTCAACCTTCGTCGGGTGATCTCACCTCTATCAGATCAAACAACAAACTGCTTCTGAGCTCCCAGTCTTCCATACTGCTGATTTTTAAGGCACTGTCCAGATCGCCCTTATCGGCGTATTCGCTGACAAACAGCAGGCGCAAATCGGTTTGAATAATGCCGAATAACTGTACAATGTTTGGATGCAGAAATCTCCGTAGCTGTAACTCAATAGAAAATCTTTAGAAAGGGCACTAAAATAGGCATAGCGAGATCAGTCACCTTTCTCAAAATCAGGATCGCGTCTTTATCAGGAAAAGATCCATTCGGCATCCGTGAAAAGGTCTGAACCCAAATACTGCGTTCCTGAGCTACTATAACGCCCTTAAGTCCGTACGTCGAATCCATGGGATTTTCTTGGTTAACAACGGCTTTCGAAGAAACCTTTAAGAAGCAAAGGATGACAAATTGGCGTGCGAACGTAGATGTGGTTCTGCCTGCTCCGCACCTGGAGAGATATTTGGTCAAGTGACATTTTCCACCACAAGTCGTTGGACGTTCGGGCTTTCCGGTTGCTAAATGGAGAAATAACGTACGTATATTAATTAGTTATTCAAATATTATTACAAAATATAAAGTAATTCATTTCACGCAACGCACATGTATACAATTGCCATCAGCGAAAGTAAAACAACAACCGCGATGCCAACCAGCACCCCGGCAATCGTAGTTGTGTTGCCTGTTAACAGAAAAACAAATTTGTATCAGAAACTTCCTACGTCCAGAGTATATTGTACAATACTATGTTGGGTATGATGTGAATAGCACAGCGAAAATCGGTAATACATACAGATAGATCATTAATTTTGAGCGGAAATACTGCCGGCAACTGTACAACGTATGCCTACGTACCTAAATTACGACAACGTTCTGCATCCCCAGTGTAGCCGCACCATGGCTCACTGAGTGGAGGCTCGCCGGTGGGAGTGTACCAGGCCATCGTTGTGTCACGGAATGATATGAGTTTCCCGTTCGTGACATCGCAGACTAATCGTCTCTGTACAGTACATATAAGCAATACTAGTATCGGCATCCTCCTTTCGTGGAGTTGTTCAATATTTTGGTCGATTTGTATATTGACAAATTTGTTCTTCAGCGTGCGTCTACGTTCTGTGTTACAAGTTACAACTTACAAAACACAAGCAAAGACAGTTACGCTTTACCTCAAACTGGCCAGTACCGGTATCAAAAGCGTTTACACAGACTTTATTTTGCCGTTCTCCGCTCTCATCAATCCGTTCTCTCTCTCTTTATTTTGCCGTTCTCCGCTCCGACCACCGGCACCGAAAACTGCCGACCTTGCAGCCGTTTGGTTAGTGTTCGGGCGTCAGCTTCAGCAGCACTGTTAAAGATACTGTCATTGATCGCCTAAAAAATGTAGTTGAAAAGGACAGAGATCAGTTTGGATGGTCAGATTCAACAAATATGACTTGTTGCAGTCCGACGTACTTGAGCCAGAACGTGGACCGTACTGTACGCAGTTATCGTAAACTCATTCGGCTGAACACAAAACAGCGTATCGTTAACTACAAGTTTGTAACTTGCAAATTTTGCAATAATCGGTCTGGTCTTTGATTTTTTCGTTCGCTTACGCCATTTTTCCCGGGATAAGTCGAATTATAGTCGATTCTAGTGCGTTCTTTCCATTCTTTCCTCATGTCGCTAATTTCGATATCGTAATCCCAGCAATTGATAACTTGAAACATTCCAGCGAATGCTGCTTTAGCAACCTTTAATCAATGTTACAAATTACAATTATTTCCAAAGTTTTGGCGCAGTAATGAAATACACAGGATAGCTCGTAATTCTTACCTCGTCATCGCTTTCGTTGCTTTGCCAAGTCGTCAATCCCGAAGAATGTTCATTAAGATCCACAGTGAACCAAACCTGCATTGTAATGCAGAATCATCGCGGATTTGTATGTACTGCTACTACAACTACTACTTACCATTACGGCACTACCACCCTACGTACTACATAATGCAACCACAGCGGAATAATTTTTTTACATAGTAAATAGTACATATTATCCGTACACTAGACCATAAACATTAACACAAAGTTCTCAAAGCTCCAAAGCCAAAAAACTATTCCGGCACTAGCTAAAACATGTAGCGATTTCGGAAATAAACTTACATATTCTCCAGTAGTCTGTTTCCGTAAATAGGCTCGCATCTGGCAAAAGGCGGCTTGGTAGTGGTAAGTCGATAACGGTGCTGCCTTTCGATTGCTTACCATGATTTCTCTTGTCATCCAAGGAGTCGCGGAAACGAAAACAACTGCAAAAAAACACATACAGAGTACATAAATTTTCTTATACAAAGAGGTAGCAATAACTATAACTGACTGATGTGCGATAACAATAACTGATGTGCGTTTACGTTAACAGCAGCATATATGCGTAACCAACCTCGTGAGCTAGCCGCAATACGGTCAAAGAGGAGATCATAGTTGAATTCTTTATAATTTGCGGAATCCAGCACAGAAAAGGGATTGATCCTGATATTGGGTGCGTAGACGCGCAAAAATCGAATTGTGCGTTGATAAGCGCGTATATGGAAGGGATTCAACAGGGATGTGTCGTAGAGATACGCGATAGTGGTCCAGTTGTAGCGGATACACAAATCCATTATTACCGATGCATGCAGATCATACTGCACTGGGCCGGCCGCAATGGTCGTAGGAAAACGCTCCCGGTCGCGTAGCGTGGAAAAAGTTGTGCCACTGCGGTAAACGACATTAACTTTAGTAACTTTAATTGTATCATATGTCCTTTTATCAGCAACAGTACAGATATTTGCATAATTGCATATGACTGCCAAAAATGCATATTATTATTATTCTAGAAAGTACTGTGGTAGGAAAAACTGAACTTCAGGGAGAATGACAGCACAGAAGATAATAGCTGTCTTACTCTACGTTAAAACTACGAAAATTCTCCCCTGAGGCTAACCAGGATAAGACCATGAGATTCCATTCTGCAAAAGGCGCACACTGTAACGGGTTACGATATCTTACTACTTGCAAGATTTGTTATTAATTCTCTATACCTCTTCCTAGCTCGCCGAACATGGGAGAGTCATCGCAACCTGTAAATAGAAATGATTGCGGGATTTGGTTTTCATTAAAGCAAGACAATCTGCAACTGCAGCAATGTGCTGAGGCAAGCGATGTACAGTACCGGCATAAATAAGGATCAATGTGTCGTGTGTGGAGAATCTGGAGGAACTATTTTCGAGCTGTTTTTCATGCTGTCGAGCATGTCGATAATAATAGTCAACCACGTCGGTGAAGTAGGCTCCGCTGTCCACACAGTCCTTTACATTTCTGCTAGATACATAAATGTGGGATATGTTGAGCGTTGAATGGTACATCTCCCGGACTTGACCAACGGCCAAATCGAAGCCCGGTCCTATAAACGGTAAAGACTGCACTAGGTATGCCGGCCACACCCCGTAAATCATTAGAGTAATGTTAACCCGACCACGAGCCACAACGGACAAGCTGCTCAAAATTAAGCACCGCATAAGCAAATCGTTTGCGATCGCCATTAATTTATGTTTTGACTGAAACGGTCTCACACTGAATCTAGAACCTCTGTGTGGTTCCAAAGAAGCTTCAATACAGTTTACAGGTGCATAGGATTGGCGTGAAATATTGTTGACTGCCTAACTTCAAATACCATATTAGCCAGGAAAATATGCGTGACAGGTGTAGCAACTGCCACTCAAGACGAGATTATACGTTTGGATTAGATCGGAAAGCGAAAACCAATATTCGATATTACGCAATATATGCTGGGCAGAATCCTTTTTTATAGACTTCCCGTTAATCGTTATTCGCTACCTTGCGCAGCTTTCCAACTTCCCACAGAGTGTATCTGTAATGGTACAACGCACTGTGCATGCTTAAAGCAGCTACAAAGTATATTATGTATTCTGACTCTCTGTTTTTGTGCATATTGGGTATACGATGCATGTAAAGCGTTATGGCTGCAATGAATTCTGCAGTTGTACACTTTTTTTCCTGGATATTACATAGCTTCCAGCAAGCTTTGAAAAGCGATATATTTTGTAACCAATATTTATTCAGTCCTATCTGTAGTATGTATATCTAATTAAAGTGCATTAATCAAGACGCCAAATTGCTTCTGTATTCTTGATTGCTTCGAAAAGTCACAAAATATTTATTTTATCTAAATAATCTTCTTTGAGCCTCCATCTGAAATGTTGTCTGGGAATTTCATAAGAGGCAGTGCACATCATATTCACCCTTTCCTGCAATGAAATTTGACTCTTTTATAATTTTATTGGGAATTTAGCATTTTGCTGGGATAAACGCTAGTTTATGTACATTTTGTACCTTCAAAAATATTTTACCGCGGTATTCAGTCCTGATATTGGTACTGAAGATTAAAAGCATGGTCGCAGCCGTTGTTTGAATTATCCAGTCCGTATTATGCGAAGCAACACGGGAAGCCGTGTTGATCGTGTCACCAAATCTACATGTAGTCATGTACAGTAGCGAAATATTCAATCACGTGAACAAGACTTGTAATTTGTTACACTCTAGTACTGTTACATAATGTGTACTATAGGAAATCGAACTAAATACGTACAGACAGTACCGTGGCCGTTTCTTCCCAACAATTCCGGCAACACAAGCACCTAATAAAGCCGATAACGCATGACCCCGTTGTAATTGTCATCATTAATTAAATCTACAACTGATTTTCTAATCATTTAACCAAGGTAATTTTACTTTGTTCACTTTTTTTTATTTTACGAGTACCTGAGTGGATACCAATTTTGATGGCCATTTTGTGAGATTTTCCGATATCCAGAAATATTTGACGGAAGCCCAAAGCACAATAGCATACCTCTTTCGCATGCCGGTCACCGTTACACTCTGGTAATCCACTTGCCACCTAATCGCAGTTACCGAAAAGGTTAGCGTCTGATACTCCAATAACACGGTATATCTGTACTGGTTTTCGTCTGCGATAACAAGTTCCTCATGTGCAAGACCAATGCACTTTTACCATGCAGCTGTCGTTAATGGTTTCCACTTTGTACACGTTGTACAAGCTGACCACACCATCAAACGAATGAAACATTTGGTCCAAAAGTGTACCACGTTCAGCGGTGCATCGGAATTCTTAGCGACAAACTCGGTGAATCCAGTCGTGTATGAAAACAACAAGGAAATGCTTTCAAAAGCCTCCGGCTCGATTGTCACTTCCCTTCTTAACCGGTGTACGATCTGCCTAGAATGGATTAAATTTTTCTGGTAGATAAGGTTCTAGCATCTTAATATTATACAAATTCCCAGCCGATCACATACACTGGTAGCAGTTCTTGTAATAATGCCTCATTGGCCTCGGTTTCTCGAATAAACTCTTGTGTTCGCTCGGCTACAGAGTCTTCCAGTTGTGACGCATACCGTTCCAACCGCAAAAGAATCTTCTCGGCAAAATTCCGGTTATTAATGCCAAAACTGCTTTGACATAGCCTCCGTATGATGTCGATTGTAGGTCGTTGTGAGGGATCGATATCGTGGCATTTAATTAAAAGGTTTTGAAACTCGTTGAAAATGGACGCTTTTCTGGTAGAAAAACCTGCAAAAATACGCATATAAGTTATACACATTCCCCAATATGTAATTATTTTAACGTAAAATTTCTACTGACCTTTTTTGAATTCGTAACCAGAAACGTCTTCGGCTTGAACGCCCTTAAATACGTGTTCAGGAAGAAGGATATGCACCATATCAGCAAAAACGTAAATGTCACTGGCGGATGCTGCCGCTGCACTTTGTTCGTGTTGAGACTTATTGCGTAATTCTGGCGGAATAGATAACAAATTCTTGAGTTGGATCTTCTGCTCAGTCGAGATATTCCGTAATATATCCATGTAGCCTAATGCACCAATCTTCAGAATGAACCTTTTATCAATTAAGCATTTTCTGGCTGATAAGCTCCCGTGACGCCGCAAGCCAGAGTGGTGAATAGCGAATAATCCCTGAAGCACAGTAAGCCGTTATCATAATTAGACGCACGCGTTTTAATCTTTAGCTGGTTGGTTCTTGCCTCAACTAAATCGAACGACAAGCTACTTCTCAGCTCCCAGTCGTGAAGACTATTGGTTTTCAGGGCGTCTTCCAGGCTGCCTTTATCCGTATACTCGCTAATAAACAGTAAGTTGCGATCGGTTTCGATGATGCCAAATAAATTCACAATATTTGGATGGGAGAATGTGCGGAGCTGAAACCAGAAAACCGTAAAAGTTTTACGGTAAAACAGATTTTCTTATTGCAAACAAGCTATACTTTTCTCATGGTTTGAACTGCATGTTTATCTGGAAAAGGGGCATTCGTTGTCCGTTTAAAATTGCGAATCCAGATGAAGCGTTCCTGTGCAATGATCATGCCCTTTCCTTGTGAGGCCGTTTTATCTTCCCCGTTGATTGTCGTTTTGGAAGGCGTCTACAGTATGATGATGGAACAACGTAAACAGTTTATTACAATTAACTGAGCACCTAGTCTGACCTGGAGCGTTATTTGGTCAAGTGACATTTTCCACCAAACATCACGAGCTTTTTGACTTTTCCGGTTTCTGCGGCAGTCAAAAATATTCATTCCATTTTAACGATCACTGAATTGTATTGAATGCATCATTGCATCAACAACATATTACGCACACGTGGAAAATGGCGATGAGAAGGAGAACCAAGACCGTCAGGGTAGCTCCCAGGGCGCTTGCGATCGTAGTTGCATTTCCTGCCTCAAACTTTCGTTAACAACTTTCAGTAAGCACTAAGTAGCCACAATATTAATTTATTGTGGTTCACACCTGAATTTCGGCAGCGCACTGCATCCCCTGTGTAACCACACCATGGTTCGCTGAGTGGAGGGTCACCGGTGGGAGTATGCCAAACTATTGTCATATTGCGAACGGACTTGAGTTTGGAATTGGTAAAATCACAGAAGAGCTTCCTCTAGACAATATTTCGGGGTTTAGATAAATAAATAACTCCACAGTTGAATAATCTCCTTAGAGAAGATTATTCAGCGGTGGTGCAGTTTAAAACCATAGGTGCAGTTTTCAGCACAGTACCTCAAACTGACCGGTAGCGCTGTCAAAAGCGTTGACACAGACTGTGTTTTGCCGCTCTCCGAACTGATCAATGCGGAACGCTCCAACAACCGGTACAGTGAACTGTCGATCTTGTAAACGTTTGGTCAGATCTCGAGCATCGGTTGGGTCCGCACCGACAGCGACGCTTTCGTTAACCGCCTAAGAAGACAGGTTTCGAACACAGTTTCCAAAATTGGCTACAATCGTTACATCGAATTACCTGGGCTAAGACATGGACAATACCGTATGCGGTTATTGTAAATTCATTTGGCTAAAAAAACGAAAGCACAAATTCAGGTGATGTTTTAATTCTCAGTGGAACTTTGTCCGTACACCGTTTCTGCCTGGATAAGTTGCATTGTAGTCGGTTTTTGTGTGTTCTTTCCAGTTTTTTCGCAAATTGTCGATCTCAGATCCATAATTCCAACAATTTATTACTTGAAACATTCCGGCAAATGCAGCTCTTGCAACCTGTCCCATCAAATTTGCAAAATTACTATGGTTTTGTGTAGCATATATTATGGGTGATTACGATTTCGTGGTGATTATTTAGGCGCACCTCGTCATCAGTTTCGTTTCGCTGCCAAGTCACCGGCCCAAGAGAGTGCTCATTGAGGTCCACTGTAAACCACACCTTCAAAATGTCACGGAATTACAAAATGCGGTATACAGTCGTCACAGTCCAAAGCCTAATTTTCTCTCACGTATTCTCCGGTTGTCTGGTTCCGCAAATATGCTCTTATCTGAAACAACAATAAGTGTTTTCTGTTAATTTTGTTACTGTTACTCTTCAAAACATTTTTTTAAAGATCTTATGAACTGTATGCGTGTGCTTTCCGGTACACTAGAGTGGCGTTCGGTACAACAGTAGAACTTATGCCGTTGCAAAAGTAAAGATACAAACTATAGAAAGATTTACCATAACTTCTCTGGTCATCCAAGGTGGTGCAGAAATGAATATGACTGCAAGACGATTGGGTAATTACCGTTGTGTTAAAGCGATTGAGAACACCTTACACCCACCTCGTGAAGTTTGTGCAACACGGTTCAGCAGAAGCTCGTAATTAAGCTCCTTATAACGGTAGGGATCTTGTACCGCGAAGGGATTGATCTGAATGTGCGGTGCGTAGATGCGTAGAAATCGACTAACGCGTTGGTAGGAGCGTAAATTAAACGGATTTAGCTGGGATGTGTCGTAGAGATAACCGATCGTGGTCCAGTTGTACCGGTTACACAGATCCAGTATGGCCGATGCATGCAGATCGTACTGTACCGGTCCGGCCGCGATGGTCGTGGGAAACCGATCCCGATTGCGCAAATTGGAGAATGTTGTACCACTACATGGTGAATCAATGTTAGCTGCGCTAATTAGAACGTTGGGATACCGGATGCCGTGATATTGTAGTATGTCGTTATTACTTGCTAAGCGCATTAAGCACGTTTCAAGAAACCTGGCTTTACGCAAATGATGGTACGCTTATTAGCTGGATTCCTGTGCATTCACACGCTGCCGCCCGTGCTTTGTTTTGATATCGATTCAGAAAATGCGTAAAATGGCACCAAAACATGCCAACCTTCTTAATAACGCACCATAAAAAAATTACCTGGCTACGGTAAAACATATATCCATATAATTTAATCATACTCTGTAGGTAACTTACCACGATACAACCATAATGTTCCATTCTACAAAAAGACGATTTGAGACCACAACGATTGTGAAGCTTATATAACAAACGAAATACGGTAAATTAGGTCTTCTTAATGATAAGAAGTATTATAAACATATGGTGTTATGGATTAGTTGGCAGTACGTATTCTACAGTTCGTTGGACTTAATTCTTACCTCTTCCCAGTTCGGCAAACATTGGAGAGTCATCGCAACCTGTCGTTCATGGATGCATCAATTTCAAAACACATGACAAACGGACAATGCAACCATTAAAAATACGAATTCGAAGGCGAATGCGTACATAACCATTAGTGAACTAACAAGAGAAGCAGCTTGGCTGAAATTCTGAAGTTAATCTACGGAGTGCTTGTGTTTTACCATTCGCACCTGAATAAATAAGTACCAGTATATTTTGTTCGTGGGACTCCGAGGTATGATTTTCGTGCCGATAGTAGTAGTCGGCGACATCCGTAAAATAAGCGCCGCTGTCCACACAGTCCTTTACATTTTTACTCGACACATAAATACGGGACATATTGAGCGTCGAGGCAAAAGCGTCTTGTACTTGGGCAACGGCCAAATCAAAGCCCGGTCCCATAAACGGCAGCGACTGCACCAAGAATGCTGGCCATGTTCCGTAGATCATCAGCGTCACATTGGCCAAACCAACCGTTTCCGTAAGAATGCCGTTCAGGATTAAGCAGTGAAGAAGTAGATCATTAGAATAACTCCTACCCAACATATTGCGGAATTCTACTCGATATCCTGCTGACTTTTGTACGTATCCAGTGTATATTCGTAGGGTAGTAACTGTTGTACCGTCGTAGATCTAAACATGCGGTACTGCTAGTTCTACTCCGGAGACATTACGTTTGCAACTGTCGGCATCAGGAAATGCTCACAAAGGAGGGTAAGGTTAATGCAATATGACTGATTAATTCTTGTCTGACAGGCTGTAAAAATACACTCACAATGCGCACACTGCCCGAAGTTTACATGTCTAGATACGTATATGAATGCGCAACACGGAATCGCGAATTACAGATTTGACAACAAGTCAGCCGCGTGGGGGTGTGTCTTAATCACTAATGGATGTATTTTCTCCAATCCTATCTTTACGAGATATTCAAGGTATGAAGAAACGTGTAAAATCGTTCCTTATTTGCTTCCGGTCGATTTTTTTAATACATACATTTTCGGAGAAACCAATGTAGACAGCTTCTTGCGTTTATGTTGCGCACTTTATCTAAACAGTTTTCCGACTCTGATCGTGCAATCAATTTTAAATTTAAATTCATATTTTCATATCAAACAAATTTAATTCATATCAAACAAATTTAATTTCATATCAAACAAATTTAAATTCATATTTTCCAGATTATGTGCAGTATAAACAACAGTCACGGGAGCATTAAATTTTGGTAAAAACAAATAATATTGGTGAAGTACTTATTTACACGATCGCATATTCAGTTTTTATTTGATCCTTGCACAGTTAATGTTGAATTTCAGCAGATTGTAAACTGCACAGCAAGTTGTAAGTGTGCTAACACTCAACAGCATGGAAATGCTTAATGTGCGTGACCGTTATTTTATACGGCATGTCATTTTCATAAGTGCAATGCAAACATGATTGTATCGAAGAAGTCAACAACCACTCTACAAGTACGAGTATTTGTGCGAAAGGATCCAACGATAACATCGTATCAATCGATCAACCAGTAGGTGAGAATCTCTCCCTTACCCTAATAAACGGAACTGGGTCAACATTCAGTGACATAGACCTGGATTACAATGAAAGCAACGAATGAAAAAATGCACACTGAAATGAAATTATTCGAACAATAAAATTTACCAGCAAACAGAAATGAGCAAGCAGTTTACAGTTTGAAACAAGGATGGGACAAATACCTCGTAATATGTTTACCTTAATCGCCATTCTCCCACGTGTTTCAAACTTGTGTCCGAACGTTTTTGCAATGGGTACTGTATTTGGACTAACATGGATCTTCCCCGGAAGACCGTTGCTTTCCATTCGAGATGCGGTATTTACCGTATCTCCAAACCTGTGAACGATCAAGACAGTTTTCGGTAAATCGAGAGTAGCCAATCAGTTTACATTTTGAGAATATGGTTTATGGCACGTACAAACAATAACGCGGCTTCTTCATCCCAACCACACCCACAGCGACCGGCCCACTGTGTATTCCAATCAACAAGCCCAACCGTGGATCCTCGATAATCCGGTGAAATTCCGTTTGTAGCAAATTTGCCAACCGGCAGATTTCGTTGGCATGGCGTTTACCTATCCTTTCGACAAGTCCGCTGACTGCCTAAACAATAACAAATAAGGTCAGGGTCAATAACAACTGAGATAACAATAAGCGTAATACATACCACATAGCTGCTCCCGATGGTTTCTAGTTTATACACCGACACTTTGGCGATGGCTCGATCAAAATAGACGTAAGTATTATGGAGAAAATGCAGTGCTACATCGGGTGGACAACCCGCGATAAAATCGGTAAAACCGGCAATATCACTGAACAGAACGCTAACTTCATCCACGTATTCGGGGTCAACTTTTATACCGGCTCGTAGTTTCCGTACAACGTCGCTACAATGAAGCAAAAAGACAAATGCTTTAGTTGTGTTTGCATTAATGAATTTATCCTCTTACACCTTACACAGGAAGCATCTCCCGCAATAAGGCGTCAGCACGCTGCTGCTCTGACTGCAGCTGAGCGGTCTTCTCCGAGACCTGCATTTCGAGTGTTTCGTTATATTTGGCTAATCGTCTGATAATCCGCTCGATCAGGCTGCCTCTCAGGCCTTCATAAACGGTGGCTTCTGAGAAACAATTATGTATGTCCAGCATTTGTGGTCTTGCTGCGGGGTCTTCTAACCAGCACCGCTTTGTTACTTCGAGGAAGTGGCCAAGAGCTCCTTTCTCAAGTTCTTCGGAAAACTTCAGCTGTCGCAGCCCATCTCCACCCACTACACATGCAAAAAAGGATAGCATCACCAGTTTGAAATATCAGTGTATGTAATGCGCAAATTATCTACCCAGTGCGTGAGTGTTAAAGGACTCGTAGCCCATGAGAATCTGCTGAACAATTGTTCCCATTGCGTATATATCGCTTGCCGGAAAGGCACGCCCATGGCAATATACTTCCGGTGCCATCCACGGGTGCGGCGGGAAAAACGGACGACCATGATTGGAGTGTCCAGTGGACCCAGATAACAAACGACTAATGGTCTCGTGGCCGTAATCGGAAATCTTCATGCTCAAGTGGCTGTCGAGCAGACATTTTGTTGGACGGAGGTTCCCGTGCATTTTTACTCCAGTTGTGTGAATGTAATGCAGACCCTTAAATAAAAGATTTAACTATAAGCTAAATTCCAGTATAAGTGGTGGAAAATTTATTTACGTGAATGAGATCGTGTAATAAAGAGAGCTTTAATGTCCAGTCCGGTTCTCGCAACAGCAACAAATCCTCCAGTGAACCCCGTTTGCACCATTGGTGAAAGAGAACGGGTGGTCGATGGGCTATGTCCAGTCCTATTAGCTTGTTAATGTGATGTGAATCCATTTTGCGAATCTAAGAAATAAATCAAGAAAACTGTTCACTTATAAGCCAATTTCAAAATACCGAGCGCCCGCATCACCTATCCATTTTACCCCTATTACCCAGTATTACCTATACAGGCAAACGCACGAGAGCACAACCGTGAGCCAGTGCAAAATGTGCACTTTGCTGCTATCGGTAATGCCTAGAAAGAGCACTCGCGTTCTGCCGGCAAAGCACACCAGGAATCAGGATTGACTGATTGAATGACTGTAGGATTATGCTAACAATACCTTTTTTATTAATTTTGGAAATCACTATAGCCACCCACTACAACCACTTACAGGGGTAAGTGGTTATTGGGCTACAGGGTTCCGTAGGTTCGTTGTAAATGTAAGTGGTTTCTTCTTCTCTTTTCAAGATACTGTAACAGTACATTGTGAGCTCGAAAACACTAAGTTATGACTCTTTTGAGATTTATTCGTGCTCTTGTGCACAACTTTAACGTACGGCACAGTAGAGTATTGCAGCATACTTGACGAAGTATTCATACAATTTATTGGTGCTGTAGTACGTATATCACTTATGTGAACGCATAGCGACCTGGTATAATACACCTGTTTTGTGGAGAAAAAAGGACAATTCAATCTTTTACTATTAAGTTAACGAAAAAAGGGCTTGTTTTGCAACTGGATCGAGCGCGTCTGCCGCGTCATCAGAATACTACTCTAGTTCACAGTCCAGCAAACAACTGTGGTTTTCAGTTTTCATTATCAAAATTAACTGGAGAAGCATAAGCTACCCAGTACCCTAGTGTTGCAGCTGCAGTCTGCTGGCAGCCTGGCACACATCTGACGCAAACAGCTTAATCCATAGAGCAGTATTTACGCTGTCGGTATTATAATTAAGTACGCCACGATCGCCACCTATGCCAGGAGCGCCAAAATATGATCCTTGCTTCGGGTTAAGACCGATGGAAATAGCGTCACTGCCGCGAGCTACCGGTGTTAGCGACACATGCGACCTTTTCGGTATGGCTCATGGCGGCGTCATCATTTTTAATGCGGCAAGCTGGGGCTGTTGCCTTGTTACCACAACATCATCGCCCGACACGTTCCACGTGCTGCTACAAAACCTTCTACGCATTCTAAACGTTAGAGAGTAGCCTTTCTCGGTATTATAGACCACCCCGTACGGTAACGGTAATTTAATTTGGTAATACCGCGGATAATCTTTGACAAGGCGGGTACTTCCGAATTGAGCAAGTACCGTGGCTAAAATGACGTTTCGAGTTGCAAGTTACAGGATATGCCTCTAATAACACAAGCGTCCACCAACTGTTGGCGTATCGATAATTAAGAAAATCGTGTACAGTAATTCACGCTAATCCAATCGGTCCTAAGTTCATCCTTGTACAATTATTTGGCAGAAATCTTAAATCATTGCTCGTAATTCTACCGAGTGCCGACTTACATAATTCAGGAAGCTAATATAGCCCTTGGTAACTGTTGGATGTTTGCCTGAAGTCCAGATTAACGGCGTCTTGATAGCTCGAATACCGCGCACAACGGCAATCTTCCGCTGAAAATTCTGCGCGTGCGTAGTGAGTGAAAAATAGGATCGTTCCGTGGCGGTGCGAAATGTACTGCGGGAATGCTCAACATCGGTTGAATGGACAATCCACCATGTACGTTTAATATTGGCTTTGCGCTCATTATTCCTGGGATAAAGCAAAATACAGTACATTGTTCCAATTCGTTATTTATTTCGCATAATCACAAAATTACCAAATAATTCCTCCAATTAATACTGCGACGACCAACATCACAGCAGCTGTGACAACTCCCACGACCAAACCGACATTGACTACTTTTGTACATTTCTCTCCAAATAGACCGCAGAGTGGACGATCAGGCGGTACGTGCCCGATACGCCATTTCATTGGTCGATTTGAATCCACCAATGGGTAGGTGTCGGTCTTGTAGTCATAGTGCAACACCGTCTACAAACGAATAAATTAAGAAAATTGCGAAAAAACATTTTAGCACAGCGTCTTACCACGCTCTCATTTCGGGCGTAATCAAACTGTTGCACCCAAATGATAGGCTCCTTGATAGCTTTTGACGTGACTAGGACATTTTCAAACATCAGCTCGTGTGTCCGGTTAACGATTCGCCCAATCATACTGGCTGCCGAGATTTTCTGCTGAAGTTCATCGGTGGAACTGATTTGCATATCCGTTAATGTTTCGTTGATTGCCTAGAACAACCCAACTTTTTCAACCGAAGTTGTGCACTGCTATTGGGTAGAGATAGTTTGGTTACCAAAGATGCCATTTCCACGGCCTCGTGACATTGGAAGATGAAGTCATTGTACTGAACACATACATTTTAAAAGGTCAAAGTTGAGGTAACGGGAAACCCAGTTGAACATTAATCCGAAAATTTATTTATATAAATGTACCATGAGTTCCTGCTGGAAAGGTGTTCCAAACTTTTCTTCTCGTCTTTCGTTAACTGCACGAGACGTATTAAGAAACATGTCCCAATTGGATTTTGGCGTGCGGAACAAGAGTACATTATCCAATGCCGAATGAACTCGCTACCAAAAATGGTTTTCGCATGAGACTTGATTTAAATAACGCAACCCGACTAAATATTGTACTTTACTTCGTCATTCTCGTCGCCCAAGTACCACTGATCAATCGGCGGCTCGAAAGGAATTTGGCTTTCATACAGCATCATGAAAACCTATGAAATTACGGTACCACATTAAACTAATCGAAATGGCTACGCGCGAGAGTATCGCGCGCGTAGAGATTTGACTACGCGCGAGAAACTCTCGCGCAAAGTCATAAGACTACGCGCGCGAGTTAGCGAAATTATATTAGAAAAAATATAAATATAATCGATTTGTGAATTAGCAGCAATGTGGCAGGCATAAACCAATAACAACAACAACCAACAACCAAGGTCAAATATTCTGTTATTGCTCCAATAATTTCGAGGACGTAAAATTATGTATTTTTCCGGTACTGTGTACTAGCCGGCACAATTAAGCTACCTACCGGTATTCGTAACGGTTATAGTTTTAAAATTGTATTGTTTACTCCTCTAAAATGGACTCTACCCTGCTTAACACCGGATACCGCTTTATGTCCTACGAAGCAGCTGTAAAAGCTGTCCAGGACTGGGGAAAGGTGACCAACCAAGTCTTTGTAAACCCAGGAGGAAACGCACGGACATCGAAAACACATCCGCACCATGCAAGTTTCCATACAGCTCCGCCCGACTAATCTGCAAGAAGGGAGGCGAATATCGGCCTCACCGGAAGGACGAGCAGATAACCCACAAGTCCATCACAACGACGCTGAAGAGCGGTTGCAAAGCATATGTTCACCTCAAGCTTCTCAACGGCATGATGGAAATTGTACATCTGCCAGCCGCGGAGGATCATAACCATGAGCTCACAAGCATCGTAGCCCAGCACATCCCGGAAAACTGAGCTGATTCTCTACAGTTTTTACTACCGGCGAGAGCTTTCGCGCGTAGTCAAACTACTACGCGCAGGAGCTCTCGCGCGTAGACAAAGTACTACGCGCGTGAGGGCTCTCGCGCGTAGACCTGACCTAAACTAATCTAAGGACCTCACGTTTGCTAGCGAATTAAGAACTTGGCAAGCAAACCCATTAAGTGCAAAAATAACTGTCCATGTACAAACCGTATAAAATTGTAAAATTTTAGTACTTACATAGTCGCCATTTGTCATTCCCAAATCGTAGGCCTCCGCCTGTGGCGTAAAAGTATTTTATTGTAAAACGAATCAGAAATAAGGCTATGCGTAGTGAAAACATACAACCTTACCAGCAATCTCCTCATCGATGCATAAAGAGTACAGCACATGATAACTGCAAAAAATGATCAGAGTCATATGTTAACCAACTTAAGCTGAGGATTTTAAGCGTTTACAGCTGCCATACTTCGACTATGCTGTGCGGCTTGGTTCAGAGAAGCACTAAAGGTAAATCCCGGCTTGGTAGAGTCAACTTCAATTACGATATACTGAATAGCTTTATCTCGCTTCCGCAGATCGATAAATAGACCATCACATTCGGATAGACTCCGTCCGGCTTCCTGAATATCCTTCAAAAGGTCATTGATCACCACCAGGTACTTCCAGTGGTACTTGTCCATCACCTTCCCGATGGCCGCTCCAAAAATTAGATAAGAGGCCGCGGCCATGGCGACAGCGTTGGGTGATCGATGTTGATTAATGGCTACACCGGCAGCACTGCAAATAGCATTGTTATTGGCTAGAATAAAGTAATATCGCGTTATCGCTCGGCCTTGCACAAGGTATGCCGCTACGTACCAAGGGACGATGAGGAGATCCAACTCTGAAATTATCAAGTAAAAGCTCACCTCACAGTAACAAGAGTTATCGTCAGCAGATGTTACTGTATGTTAATAAGCACAACTCTGAAACACTACATGTACGCTGATGAATGAAACTTTAGAGTCCACGATAACTGATAGGTGCTGAACATAAAAGCGAAAATGTCATACGAATATGAAATTTCTTTCTGTTAAATTTAGCTCCTTCTCGTTCATATCAAAACGATTGGTTCGAAGTTTACTTACAGTTACGGATGCAAAATAACTATAAAAAGACATTCTGTGCCTGGTTGACGGTTCATTTGTAAGTATTTTCGCGCAAGGTTTTCAGCCAAAACTTTTACGTTACGCTTATACTTTATCCGCGCATATTACAGTAGTAACTGCAAAATATTGAAATGCATCATTGTACGAGTTAAGCATTCGACATACCTCGTGCAAAGTCAAAAATCGTTGGCAATGCCCAGTTGCAAACTGAAAAACAGCAGCATTATAAAATGAAAGGATCACTGCAGGAAGCAAGACGTACGAGCAACATTGCTCGTATTTGCATGCTATGAGGGAGACTCCGTCAGGATAGTCAGGCTATGGACGCCTTCGTACTATCGGGAGTGTACGCGTGAGCCAGCACTATATCGTCAGGCAGTACTATCGTTTAGAGCCATTTTCACTGTTATACGGCATTGCGAGCCATAGCACGGCAGCGTATGTGCTTGTACGAGTTTACTCGTGCAGTGCACTACGTACAACTCGTACATCAGCCACTCTCACTTCAGGCATAGTACTTTGCAGGTAGCCAGCACAGACTTCACAGTCTGCACAGTCATTACGATATTCGGTGATTTCCATGCTTGGCATTCCCACCGGTGTCATAGGATTTTATGTTGATGTTGTGATTTATATTTTTATGAGCCATAAATATTGATATTTACGTTCCCAGTGCGTTTCCCGTATCTCCGGTAGAGTCGTAGGCTCTAGGCCCCTTACGTCGTGTACGGCCTAGATCGCATGGTAGCAGATAGCGTGTCGGTTCTCGGAAGAACAGCGTGTGGAGTCCTCCCTCTGGATTCTGCGCGTTTTCGTCCCAGTCGACATTAACACCGAAGCGAGGAGCAGCACCTGGTGCGCGAAAGACTGCTAAAACCAGTCACCAGGTCCCTCAAGGAGCAGCCCAACCTCGGATTGAAGTAAGAATCCTCTAACAGCCAAACCAACTCATTTTTCTTTTCATTTCTATCACTAACCTAATTACAGCACTTTCTTTTAATTTAATTCTTCACATTATCAGGACAATAGCGGCTATCCAGAACAACTCATATTTAGTTTGTATAAGCCAGATCGCACATCAAAACTACTTGTTGATAATTGTATAAGCCAGATCACACATCAAAACCACTTGTTGATATTAGGTCTTCAGCCAGCTCTACATTTCAGTCCTACAGTTTACATATTTATTTATTCGTCAGACCTTCATTTCATTCAGCCAGTACAATATTTTCCACTAATTTCAGTACGAATAGTGCTGTGAATTTGTGGAAAAATTAGCCATTCAACCTAGTGAGTTTCTTCGGAAATTCACTGCACATCAGCCAGCCAGACACGATTTGTTTCGTGTGCAAAAACACGTGTTCTTGCAGCCAGTAAAATCAGCGTTATTTCAGTCCAAAATTCAGCGTTTTTCAGCCAGCGCAAATCTCTGGGTTTTTTCGAAAGGTTACAATCTTTCGGAAATTTCCGGGTATTGCGCACCGTTCATCGCTCTTGCAGGCAGGTAAATTCATGTTCAGCATTGGAAAGATTCCAATCGCTGATAACCAAGCCGCCTTTGTATTCGGCTCGCTCGAATACAATAGCCGCTTAAAGCCATCGCACTCAGAGACACAGGAGAGAGAGGAAATTTTCAGAAGTCATTTCTGAAAAACATCCTCTTGCATCACACAGCCAGACATCCAGGCAGTACAAAGTGGCATTTTTGAGCGCTGTTGATTTCGATTGATAGCGTTCGAAATTGCAGCCATTCCAAAGGCACCTTCAAATTTAAAATTAATTCAGCCAGATCTCACACAATTTAATCCTGATTATTACAGCATCATTTTCATAACGCCAGTAAAAATGTTCAGACGGCTGAGAGACACACTCTCACCGTTTGTGCGAGCAAGCCAGACGCCAGAAACAACCGACAACGAACCGTTGTCAAGTGAGGCAGAAATACCGGCTCAGGAACGTGTTTCACGTTCCAAAGCACAAAAACTGAAGGCAGGAGGACACGATGTCCCATACCACACGTTGGAAAGCATTAATCAGCAGCAAGCATTCGCCAGAAGCAGTAAGGTGGCACGTTCTCCGGAACGGAAGTCCACTGGACCTGCACAGCCAGAAACCACTCAGGCAGAAATCCACGCTCAGCCAGATGATGCTGACTCCATTATTGGAGGTCAAAATGATCTGCCAGAGCTTAGCGATATGTCTCAGTCAGAAGAAGAACATCAGAAGCCAGAACAAACCCCGCCAGTTCAAAACGAAAATGCACATCAGTCACCATCGTCAAATGATCCAGCAGCATATCACACACCACAGGAACAGGACCCAGACCCACAGCAGGAGGTAAACCGACTGCGTGAGTTATGGGCCAAGGCAAAAATCGAATTATTTCGTGAAAAAGGGCAGTCAAATTCGCAGGCAGCTAAAATTCAGGAACTAACTGACTTTATCAAACGCCAGGACGAAATGATTAATTTTCAGAAAACGTACATCGAAAAGAGGGATCAGCGTTTGCAGCAGCGCGACGCTGATAAAGCCAGCACAATTCAGAACAATGCCGAAATTGAGAAGGCACTCCAGGAATCGTACCTGGAAAGGCAGAAATTACAGGAGAGGGCAGAGTATGCTCATCACCAGTTGCAGAAGGAGGCACAAAAACGTATTCAGGCAGAATCACAGAAGGCAGAAACTCTTCAGGACGAACTCAGACACTACAGAGAGCGGTACACTCATTACAAGGAGAGGTGTGGTGAACTTGAGGCCTGTTTGATCGAGGAGCCTTCTCCCGGTCAGCCAGCCCCTCCCCCACCAACCTCCCGAAATCAGAGACACCAGTCACGTCGAGACGAATCACCGGAAGTAATGGAAATCCCTCAGGATAACACCACTCACCGGCGTCCATCTCGACGCCGTAAGGCAGAACATCGAGAACATGTCCAGTTCAGAACTACAGAGCCAGATGATGAGATCACCATCATCCCACAACCACGCCCAACTGTGGTAACCCCACAATTGGACATCGGCAGTATAATTGGCAAAGCACTGGAAGCACAGTCCAGTGGTTTTGCTCAGTTATTACCACAAGTAGCCAGCAAAAAGACCAAGAACTGCTTCGTACCGAAGTATAAAGGCACAAAAGACACCGTCGAAGGCTTCCTCACACTATTTGAGTTGGCCAAAAAGGCAGGCGAATGGGAAGAAGAGGAAACTCTCAACCGTTTCGCCGGTGCACTTCAGGATGAGGCAGCTACATGGTTCAGTGGTATTATGGCATCTTCAACGCCAGTTACCACTTACGCAGAAGCTAGGAAGAAACTGTTGGAGCGCTTCGGCGATCCAGACAAGGCCTTCCATGCCACACAGACACTCATGACACGCCAGTTCAACCCAGCCAAAGAAACAATCGAGCAGTACTTTCAGGCAATGTCATCATTGTCTGATCGTAGTGGTCAAACTCAGCCAGCTTTCCTCGTCTCCTGCATGCTGAAGGGACTGGAAACAGCCCCTAAGCTGCACGAGAATGTTGCACTCATGATGCCAAAAACACCAGTGGAACTTCTCCAGAGAGCCAGATATCTGGAGTCGTTGCACTTAAGCGGCAGTAGTAGCAAACCAGCCAACCCTACAAAAGCCAGCTCATCCAAAGTATCGTACGCACAGGCAATTAACCCCGAATGTCAGCCAGATAACCCCGGCGTTCGCAACGCTGGTGGTCAGCAGACCGCCGGCGGCATTGCGAATCGTCCACCTCGGAGCAGATCACAACAAAGTAACCCACAAGTCAGCGATAAACCGCGAGAAGGTGTCGATTACTGCAAGTGGTGCTGCATCGAAGGGCATACCTCCGATGTGTGCACACATGCAGGAAAGGCAAAGGCAGATAACCCCGTCTATCAGAAATATCACTGGCCAGATGGCACACGACGCTCACTGAAGGAATGGCAGGACAACAAAGCTCGTCGTGAAGCCAGAAAACAAAGCCAGAGCCCAGAAAACCGTGCTAATAACGAACGCAGAGCTAACACAACAGATCAGAGCGACAGAAGGCAGAATAACACAGGTAATGAGCGCCGTGGTGGCAGTGGTCGGCCATCAGCCCGCCCCGCGCCATCACCGCGTCCCCGTCAGTCCAACCGTTTCAGCGAGTTATCGGATACACTATCAGACAGTGACGGTGAAGACTCCGATACAGAATCAGCCAGAAATACAGATGCTGAAATCAGTGACAATGAGGCAGATTTAAACGATTAAGGGCAGCAGCAACCGGCTCTGCTGTCCCGCGTCCCAAAAAACCGCCGGATAAGCCAGTAATACAACAAGTGTCAGCAAATAAGCCAGTACAACGGAAAGCAGCAGCAAGTAAGCCAGCCACAAAACCAGCGACAAGTAACCCAACTTGTTACTCGGTTACAGTGGTACCACAGCAAGTTACAGCTAAGCCAATCCAAAAACAAATCAAAACACCTAAGCCAGTAAATCAAACCAATTTAAGCCAGTTTATCTCTCAAGCTACACTTGAGATTATCCCAGAGCTAACCACAAATAAATCAGAGCAACCAGAGCAGAAAGCCAGTGTAACATTCAACGGTTTCACCGTTGAGAGTGATTGTGAATGTACCGTTGATTCAAACCCAGCAGTACATCATTGTCACATCGGTAATTGTGATGAGCCAGGAAAATCGCCGACGTTAACTCACCCAGTTACGATCGGTACAGCCAGAGTAAACGCCATGATCGATACAGGAGCGGAAACGTCCCTCATATCTGATCAGTTATGTAGGCAGTACAATCTCATTCAAAAGCCATTATCAAAACACATGCATATCAGGGGAATAGGAGGAGTTTGTAACTTCTCCGTGACGCATTACGCCAGTGTTCCCATAAAAATCAACGGCAACGTAGTGCTTCACAGCATGTACGTTAAACCGTTATGTGCAGATAGTGTGCATCTCCTTATAGGCCAGGACTTCTTAGCAAATGTGGTCATGGTGGCAGACTGTGGTAAAGTTTCCCACCTCCGACCAAAACAAAAACGCGATCGCCCATATCTTGTAAATCAGTCTAACCCAGCAAAGCCAGCTGCGTTAGAAGTATATCAGTCCAGTGCTGCTGTATCAGCCCCACTGGAAGTAAATCAGTCCAGACCGGCATTATATGCCACCCTGGAAGCAGATCTCGCTAAGAAACCCGGAGTGTCGTCTTACCCCATACCAGTGGCAACTGCGTTGCCACTGGATGCAGCTCAAAAAGGGGATAAGCGGCAAAATCCTTTGCACACTGCAGCACAACCTCTAGCCAGAAAACAAAAATCAGTTAAGCCAGTTCAAAATAAAACTAAGCCAGAAATTAAACCAGTAAAAAAGCCAAAAACCACGAAGTTGCCAGATCTATCAGCTCCTAAGCCAGATGAAAATACGATTAATCAGATAAATGCGTGGTTAGCATATCAAGTCTACATTAGGCAGATACAAAAGGCAGCATTCTACAGGCATCGAATTTTTAAATATTATCAGACACAGATAAAAGCCAGAAAAACAATTAAAACTGGAGGCTTTAATCCCACTTCAGTCAAATGGATACTTACAAAGCAGTTAGAAGGCATTAAAAAAGAGATCTTGTACGAGTACAAACTACTCGAACAAGATCGTCGGCAGATCAACGTTAAATTCAGTTCATATCAGATGCAGAAGCCAGAATTCCTTGAGATTACGACATCAGAAATCTATAAATGGCCTTATCGTGTGTGGAAATCACTCGATCCCGTCATTTATGGTTCATTTACATATCAGCCCTACAATCAGGCCAATGCCAGTAGACCACCGATGATTATCAAAAAGCGCGTAAAATTCAGCGATGATTTGCTGCATATTCGCCTTTTTGATAAAAATAAGCCAGTTAAATCAAAGCCAATCAAAAATATCAAACC